TTCTTTGCCATAGGCCGTAGTACCCATTACGAACTTTAAATACGAAATTTGAAACAATTCCGGTAAATAATATAGCTAAATTAATCAAAATACAGAATATAGGGAGTACCCATTGTGAACTTTAAATACGATATTTGAAAAAAAAAAAAAAAAAAATCCGGCTAATAATGTTGCTAAAATGATCAAGATACCGAATATTGGGAGGTACCGATATATGGAGGCTATACGAAGACGTGGGCCTGCATAATAAATTTTTTTGTCACAGGCTGTAGTACCTATTACGAACTTTAAATGAGACATTTGGAACTACTCCGGTGAATAATGACGCTAAAATCATCAAAATACCGAATATTGGAAGGTACCGTTATATGGGGGCTATACGAAGACGTGGACTTGCACAGGCAATTTTCTGTCATAGGCTGTATTATCCATTACGAACTTTAAATGAGAAATTTGAAACTATGGATATGGATATGGATTTTTAGACAATTCCATAAAAAAATGATGCTAAAATAATCAAAATATCGGGGGGTACCGTTATAGAGGGGCTCTACGATATCGTGAACCGATATAGCCCATTTTCGAACGTAACGATCTGGATAAAAATTGGAAGATACATTTCTGAGCTGTATCTAATGTCTGATATTAAATCTGATTTTTATGCAGTGCATATTACGAATGTGAGGGCCTTATATATAGGAGCTATATTTTCAAATTCGAAGTACGTGCCAAAACACATTCAATTCGGACTGATATTAACGATTTGGTGCACAATAAACCTGAAATCGGATGATATATCTTCATCCCAATGAGAGCTATATCCAAATCTGAACCGATCTGGATAACATTTGGCAGAGGCATTTCTGAGCTGCATGAGATATCTGGTACCAAATATCATTGTTGTGTAGTGCATATTACAAAAGTGAGAGACTTAAGCCCATAAACATATAGCTCCCATATATCGAAATCTAAACCGATTTTCACCAACTTTAACACACTTTCTTTCAGGCTGGGTTCGGTCGTAAAGGTCAAAATCCATTGAATTCGGGCTTTTCTTAACCTTTTGGGGCACAATAACCGTGAAATCGGAACTGATCTGGATAAAATTTGGCAGATGTATTTCTAAGCTGTAGCTGATATCTGGTACTAAATATAATTGTTTTGGTGTGTATTTTACGAAAGTGAGCCCTAAATTGGATGAAACATATTTTGGAAGTTATATTGAAATCCGAACCGATTTTCGCCAAATTTAAAGTAATTGCTTCCGGGCTCAATTCGGACGGATGTGCCAGAATCCATTCAATTCAGTTCATTTGGGGCACATTAAACATGAAATCGGATGAAGATATATATGGGAGCCGATCATGAACCGATCATGATAAAATTTGGCAAAGCTATTTCGGGGTTGCATCTGATATCTGCTATGAAAAATCATCGTGCAAATTGGACGAATATTACCCATATGGCGCACAATAAAATTGAAATCGGACAAAAATATTATGGGTATAGGTATATATAAATTTGAACCTCTAAAGTACTGAAAAGTCTTTAATATCCTATTTCCCATCCCCGACTGGCGGTTATGCTTAATTGATTACCATTAACCGGTTATTATTGGGTCTCTTCACACAGAGCGTAACAAATTAGGTGAATGAGACATAGCTGATGAGAGATAATACACTTGATGTTGTTGTTTTTTTTTCCGAATATAGAAATAAAATAATTAGAAAAACATTAAAACGAAGCTATCGAAATAACGCAGGTATGTGAAATGTATACAACCTCCACTGGTACAATCAAACTGCCAGTGGAGATGTTTGGTGAGAATTAAATTTATCTTCGAAGAGGGTTCTTACAAAAATCCTTGAATATATTTGGCCTGAAACATATTTTTTTAAAAATCCTGAGTTGTAAGTCCTTTGGTCCTTAAAAAAATTAAAATTATTGACGATACTCTCCAAATTCGAAACAATTTAACTTGGGCCATTTTCCCTTGATTGGATTTTATATCTGGGCTCTAGATAGGGTCCTCGTTTTTGGTAAAATCCAGGTAGTGATTTTTCTGAATACAGAGCTTGAATTCTCCATAGAAGCTTTTAATATTACATTTGATATAAAGCAAATAAAACTTTGCTTGTTGAACATGATGAAACAGTCGTTAGGGGTAGTGAAATTTTTTCGATAATGGAGGTAAATAAACCTGATTACGTCCCAGCCATATAATCAATGATTCAGCATTTTTTTTTTTTTTTTTTGATATTTAAAAGGAGATTTTATTTTTATTGGTTATTGGGTTTCCTGACATATATGGCCATTCACAAAAAAAAAAAATAAAATAAATAAATAAATAAAATAAAAATATATAAATAAAATACAAATAAAAAAAAATATTGAAATTATTGGAAGGAAAAATCCACATAAAAAATTCTTTTTAGTCTATGAAAAAATTCTTGAAAAATATCCTTGGAAAAAATCCATGAAAAAAAAAAAATTAAAAATCAAAGCTAATTGATCTAATAGTCTTTAAAGAAATTTATTAAAAAATGTTTAATCCTTGAAAAATCATTAAAAAATCCGTGATTTTTGAATTTCAGGATTTTTGTTGTACAAAAAGAAAACTCCTAAAACTATAGAATTTTTCCCCTTACAGTCCCCAAAAAAAAATATTTACAAAATTTCTAGTCAAATGGTCCTCAGGAAAAAAAAAACTATTTAAAATTTTTGCGGTTCGTAGTCCAATAGCCCCAAAAATTTGTTTTTAGAAAATCATAGTCATTGCCCTTGAAAAAAAAATATATTTAAAAAACAGTACAGTCCTTAAAAAATAGTAATTAAAAACTCCGCGATTATAAGTCCTTGAAAAAGTATTATTTTAAAAAATCTGCATTACATTGTTTTTGAAAAACGTTTTCTTTAAAAAATTACGCCTGTTTAGGTCTTTGAAAAAATATTCATTTCAAAAATCCATGTTTTTTGTCCTTAAAAAAATACATATTTTTTTACAAATTAAAAAATTCAAGCCTCTTCGGGTCCTTAAAAAATATTTTTTTATTAAAAGATCCACTTTTTGTTCTTTGAAAAAATATTTTTTTTTTTTTTTGAGTAAAATCCACTTTGTTGGTGCTTGAAAAAGATTTTTTTCAAAAAAAAAAAAAAAATTTTTGGTCCTTAAAACAATACATTTTTTTGAATACATTTTTTCAGTCTTTGAAAAATTTTTTTTTTTAAATTCACTTTTTTGATACTTGAAAAAATATTATTAAAAAGAAACAATTTTTGGTTTTGAAAAATATTAAAAAAAAAAAAAAAAAATTTCTGTTCTTGAAAAAACTTTTTTTTTATTTCATTTTTTGGTCCAGGAAATAATATTTTTTTAAAAAAACCCCACGCCTTGGTGGGTCCTTTAAAAATATTCTTTAAAAAATTCCACGCCTCTGTGGGTCCTTCAAAAATATTTTTTTAAAAAAACCCCACGCCTTTGTGGGTCCTTTAAAAATATTCATTAAAAAATTCCACGCCTCTGTGGGTCCTTCAAAAATATTTTTTTAAAAAAACCCCACGCCTTTGTGGGTCCTTTAAAAATATTCATTAAAAAATTCCACGCCTCTGTGGGTCCTTCAAAAATATTTTTTTAAAAAAACCCCACGCCTTTGTGGGTCCTTTAAAAATATTCTTTAAAAAATTCCACGCCTCTGTGGCTCCTTCAAAAATATTTTTTAAAAAAATCCACGCCTCTGTGGGTCCTTCAAAAATATTCTTTATAAAATTCCACGCCTCTGTGGGTCCTTCAAAAATATTCTTTAAAAAATCCACGCCTCTGTGGGTCCTTCAAAAATATTCTTTAAAAAAACCCCACGCCTCTGTGGGTCCCTAAAAAATATTTTTTAAAAAAATCCACGCCTCTGTGGGTCCTTCAAAAATATTCTTTAAAAAATTCCACGCCTCTGTGGGTCCTTCAAAAATATTCTTTAAAAAATCCACGCCTCTGTGGGTCCTTCAAAAATATTTTTTAAAAAAATCCACGCCTCTGTGGGTCCTTAAAAAATATTCTTTAAAAAATTCCACGCCTCTGTGGGTCCTTAAAAAATATTCTTTAAAAAAATCCACGCCTCTATGGGTCCTTCAAAAATATTCTTTAAAAAATCCACGCCTCTGTGGGTCCTTCAAAAATATTCTTTAAAAAAATCCACGCCTCTGTGGGTCCTTCAAAAATATTCTTTAAAAAATCCACGCCTCTGTGGGTCCTTCAAAAAAATTCTTTAAAAAAATCCACGCCTCTGTGGGTCCTTGGAAACATATCCTTTAAAAAAATCCACGCCTCTGTGGGTCCTTGAAAAAGTATTCTTTAAAAAAATCCACGCCTCTCTTGGTCCTTGAAAAAATATTCTTTAACAAAATCCTTGCCTTTGTGGTCCTAAATATTTTTTAAAAAATTCACTGCAATGTGGGTCCTTGAAAAAATATTTTTAAAATTTTCACGCCTCTGTGGGTCCTTGAAAAAATATTTTTTTAAAAATTTACGACTCTGTGGGTCCTTGAAAAAATATATTTTTTAAAAAAATCCACTGCTTTGGTCCTTGAAAAAATATATTTAAAAAAATCCACTTTTTTGGTCCTTGAAAAAATATTTTTTTAAAAATTTACGACTCTGTGGGTCCTTTAAAAAATATATTTTTATAAAAATCCACTTTTTTGGTCCTTGAAAAAATATTCTTTAAAAAATCCACACCTCTGGTTTTCCTTGAAAAAATATATTTTTCAAGATCCACGCCTCTATGGGTCCTTGAAAAATATAGTTTTCAAGATCCACGCCTCTATGGGTCCTTGAAAAAAATATTTTTTAAAAAATCCACGCTTCTTTGGGTCCTTAATAAAAATATTCTTTAAAAAATCCACGCCTCTTTGGGTCCTTGAAAAAATATTCTTTAAAAATCCACTCCTCTGTGGGTCCTTGGAAAAAATCTCTAAAAATCTACGCTTTCCCGAAATTCTGGATAAAATAGTAGCATTTTTTTTATTTTATTCTTTTTAAATTATTTTCATGTAGTTCCTATATTTTTGTCACCCTCAAAACAACACCCTTTTCAGGGCTAACCAACATCACTTTCTTATTGAATTTCATGGGCATTAGTGTCTCGGGGCAGGTGGAAAATTTGAAATGTTTCAAAAGGTATGCCAAGCCCACAGTGGCTTACATTTTGCCAAAACACATGCCAATGCAGTTGCGTGGCCCCTCACCAAAGGGCATGTAGAGGATGGAATCTCGGCTGGCCACAGCCTCTGGACTGAAGTTATCCGGATTGAATTCATTCGGATTGGCATAGTATTGTTCATCGCGATGTATGGCCGAGATGGGTATCAAGACGGGCATGCCTTTTTTGATGACATATTTGGGATTATCGGGCACCGCATAGTCCTCCAGCGCCTGGCGATTCAACATGGGAGCAACGGTGTAGAGGCGGAGGGTTTCCAAAAAATATATTTTTTTATTAAATTTTTTTTTAATGAAAATGGGAAAGTCGATTACCTGCAATAATTTGCTCCAAATATGGCATCTCCTTCATGCCCTCATAGCAGAACTCATTGTTGTGGCTCTCGAACATTTTCGTAACCTCCCGCCTGGCCTTTTCCTGTACATCCTGATGTAGGGCCAGTTCGTAGAGGGCAAAACACATTGTCGTCGAGGAGGTATCAAAACCGGCATTGAAAAACACAAAGGCCTGGCCAGTTATCTCCTCCATGGTAAGGTTGGTCAAATCCTCACCATGTTCCGACTTAATCAACTTCTGGTTCTTCAAATCAATTAGCATATCCATGAAATCATTTCTTCGTACATTATTCTTTTCCCGATATTCCACGGTTTCGCGGACAATGCGCATAAAGAAATCGATGACATCTTGGGTAAACAATTTCAGGCCCATTTTGGCGGCCAATTCGGGGAAGCTTTGCATAAATGCCATTACCAGGAGACCATGTCTCTGCTCTGTGAGGCCCTTCTTGCCCATTACCCGAAATTCGGCATTGGGATCCTTCAAGCTGCAGCAATCAATGCCAAAGGCACAGGATCCAATGACATCGGTGGTAAAACGGGCCAAAGTGTCTTTGACCTCCACCGCGGGATTTTCGCCGACATTTCCCCCAGAACCTCAATAAATTGCTCACAAATTCCCGTGATTATGGGAAACATGAATTTCATCTTCCCCGAAGTGAAAGTGGGCGACAACTTGTTCCTCATTACCTTCCATTTCTGGCCATCAATCAAAAACAGCTGACCCGTCAGCGGATCATCCTTTTCGTTGTGATAGAATCCACGATCGGTAAATTTATGGAAATCCCGTATCAAAATATTTTTTATCAACGCAGGGTCCAAAACGAAGACAGCGGGACGAAAGCCGAAATAGAAGCCAGCAAAGGGTCCTGAACCCTTAAATTTCTCATAATACTCATGGGTAATGTCGAGAAAACTGCGGGTCCGATTAAGTCCCTCCATGTTGCCATAGAACGGATTTGGCTGCTCACAAGCTATGCCTCTCTGCTGCCAATAGGAGAACTTTTTACGCAACGCCAACACCAAATAGGCCGCAATAGCCAATAAAATGGCCAATAAAATTGTGGAGAGCGACATGGTTTTGAGTACCTCTCCCGCACTGTTGCTTCTTGCCACTTGAATGTCCAAGTTTTAACTGAAATGCACCCCTTTATCGGTGCTTTGACCCATATCCAATACAAGAGAACACACACTCTATCTCTCTCTCTCTCTTTAATCAGTGAGCAACAAAAATAATGATAAACAATAGAGAGATGGGGGAGAGAGATTATCTGGGAGCAAAGAAGCGGGTGATAAAAAATAATTTGGAATTCGATTCCGATTCGAATTATGACGCAATGCTGTTCTACATGAAGTAATTTCAATACCATATGACGTATTGAATACAAATACAACAAATAAAAAATGTAAACAAACAGAAACTATAAAAAGAGGCACTGAGACACAATGGGGTTGAGTAATTTACAGCAAATAGGTCCACGTTTTCATATAGCCCCCCATATAACGGTACCTCCCGATATTCGGTATTTTGACAAGTTTTGGTACAATACCCACCGAAATTGTTTGAGATGTCGTATTTGACATTCGTAATGGATGCTATAGCCTTTGACAGAAAATTGTCTATTCTGGTCCAGGTCTTCGCACATCTTCGTACATTATTCACCGTTTATTTCAAGTTTCGAATTTGAATAAGGTAATGGCTTATGACAAACAATGCCTATGTAGGTGCACGTCGTATAGACCCCCAGTATTCGGTATTTTTAAAATATTAACAGAATCATTTAAGGATTTTATTTTTTGACAACGATGATGACAAAGATCTACAAAAAACAAAAAAAAAAAAAAAAAAACTTGTAAAAAATTCCAAGATTTGTAGCTGTGAAGATCCTCAAAAATGTTCCTCTCGATGAAAATTCAGAAGGAGAACCCAAAAATGTTTTTTCAAAAATATTAACATTTTAGCCGTAAAGGTCTCTAAACAAGTTTTGCTTGACTAAATTACGACTTTAGCTTTAAAGGTCTCCAGTTTGTTTTTTTTTTTTGTGTTAAATTCAAAATTCTTGTTTTGTAGCTGGAAATGCTGTCACGATTTTTGACCTAAGGCTCCCCAAAATTTTGTTTATTTAAACGTCCACAATTTTGGCTCTGAAGATCTTTGGGACAAATTGTTAAAGAAATCCACGATCAGAAGTTCTATCTCACTTTTAGAAGATCTTTTTTCAAAAAAACTAAAAAAAATGAAAATTCAAGCATTTCCATTTTTTTGGTTTAAATCCCGATTTGGTCGTCTGACTGTGATCTGATGGACCTTAAAATAATGCTTTTGGGAAATTTATGTTTGGTCCTTAATTTTACTTTTCCAAAAGTCGAAAATACCTAAAAAAAATTTTCATATTTTTTTTTTTGATTTTTGAAAAAATCTTAAAAAAATTTCCATGACATTTTTTTAAATCCAGGTTTGGGCATAAAAAAAATCCTCCAAAAATCAAGGTTTGGTCCTTGAAAATAAATCTTATAAAAATCACAGTTTGATTTTTGATAAATAATTTAAAACATCTTTTAAAAAATCCACGTTTTTTTTGAAGAGGCCCTAGTTTGGTTCTGTAAGAAAATCTATTAAAAATCCAGGTTTGGTATTCAAAAAAAAAAAAAAAAAAAAAAAATATATATATATATATATCTTTAGAAAATTTCCACATGTTTTCTTTCATTTTTGTTTTAAAAAAGTCCTTGTATTGTCCTTGAAAAAGTTATTTACGTTTGGTCTTTGGAACAAAATTTTCTTTTTGGAAAAGTCCAAGTTTGGTCCTTGAAAAAATTCTTAAAAAAAATAACTTCTTCTGACTAATACTCTTTAAAAGTTCCATTTTTTAAATCTAAGTTTGGTCCTTAAAAAATTCTTTAAAAAAATCTGCAGTTGGTTTTCGAAAAAGCTTTTTTTTAAACTCCTAAAAAAAAATTTTTTTTCTTTCCATTTTTGTTTTGAAAAAAGCTCAAATTTGGTCCTTGAAAAAATTCTTTTAAAAAATCCACGAAAAAAATAGTTTAAAAATCTTTAAAGAATTTAATGTTTTTCTTCAAATTTTATTTTGAAAAAGAACATTTTGTCCTTGAAAAAATTCTTTTAAAAAAATCAATGAAAAAAAAAATATTTTAAAAATCTTTTAAAAACCCACGTTTCTTCTTAAATTTTCATTTTTTTCTTTTTTGAAAAAGCCCAATTTTTTTCCTTGAAAAAATTCTATAAAAAAATACATATTTAGTCCTTGAAAAAAAAAGAAAACATTTTTTTAGAAAATCCATACTTTTTTCTTATTTTTTATTTTTGAAAAAGTCCATGTTTGGTCCTTGAAATAATTCTTTTAAAACATCCACATTTGGCCATCAAATTGTCCTTCACAATTTTTTCTAAAAACCCACGATTTGAAAAAAAATCGTTAACAATTAATATCTTATCACTCTTATCACTGAAAATGACAAAAAAAATCGTAAAAAATCCAAGTTTTTTGGTATTTAAATCCTTGGAAGATATCTTAAATTTTTTTGGAAAAATCTTAAAAACCCAGGTTTTTTAATTTTAAGGGATTTTCCCTTAAAAATCCTAGAAAAAAATTTATAAGGTTTTTGGTAATTAAATCCTTGAAAAATTATCTTAAAAGCCCTTATAAGAAATTCTTAAAAAATTCCGAATTTTTTGTTATTTTAATCGTTGGAAAAAACCCTTAAAAATTCCTTCTTTTAAAAGAAACTATTAAAAAATCCGTCTGTTTGGTATTTTTAACCTTGGATACCTTAAAAATCCTTGGAAAAAACCTCAAAAAGTCCAGGTTTTTTGGTATTTAAATCCTTGGAAAATCCATTAAAATCCACGAAAAAAATCTTAGTATATCCAGTTTATTTAATATTTTAATCTGTTGAAAAAGTCCTTAAAACTTAGAAAAATCCTATAAAAATTTAAAAAAAAAAATCTTAATTTTAAAGAAATCACATTTTTTTCCTTTAAATTTTGTTTTGAAAAAGAAAATGTTGTCCTTAAAAGAAATCTTTTAAAAAATCAATGAAAAAAAAATATTTTAAAAATCCTTTAAAAAACCCACGTTTCTTCTTAAATTTTAATTTTTTTTCTTTTTTGAAAAAGCCTAAGCTTGTTCCTTGAAAAAATTTTATAAAAAATCCACATTTAGTCATTAAAAAATTAAAATAATCTTTTATAAAATCCAAATTTTTTCTTATTTTTTATTTTTGAAAAATTCAAAGTTTGGTCCTTGAAATAATTCTTTTAAAATATGCACATTTGGTCATCTGGTTGTCCTTGAAATTTTTTCCAAAAAACCACTATTTAAAAAAATCGTTAAAAATTAATATCTTAAAAAAAATTAAAAATCCTCGTTTACCGGCCTTATCACTGAAAATGACAAAAAAAAAAAATCGTAAAAAATCCAACTTTTTTTGGTATTTAAATCCTTGGAAGATATCTTAAAATTTTTTGGAAAAATCTTAAAAAAATTCAGGTTTTTTAATTTTAAGGGATTTTCCCTTAAAAATCCTAGCAAAAAATCTTATAAGATTTTCGGTAATTAAATCCTTGAAAACTTATCTTAAAAGTCCTAAAAAAAATTTTAAAAAATCCCAGATTTTTGGTAGTTTAATCCTTGGAAAAATCTCTTAAAAATTCCTTCTTTGAAAATAAAATCTTAAAAAATCCGCCTTTTTGGTATATTAATCCTTGGAACATCCCTTAGAAAATCCTTGGAAAAATCTCAAAAAAACCAGGCCTTAAAATTCTCAAAAAGAAACTTTAAAAAAATACAATTTTTTTCGGATTTTAATCTTTTGAAAAAGTCCTTAATCCTTAAAAAAATCTTATAAAAATCTTAAAAGAAGAAAATCATAAAAGCTATCTTTTTGGTACTTTAATCGCTTAAAAATCCTTGGAAAAAATCTAAAAAACTCCGGTTTTGTTCGTTTTTAATCCATGGAAAACCCTTAAAATCCTAAAAAATCCAGTTTTTTGTTATTTTAATCCTTGAAAATCCTTAAATATTCTTAAAAAACCTTAAAAATTGGTTTTTATAAAAATCCGAAATTATGGCTATATTGGTCCCCGAAATACCCTTTAAAATCCCAAGTTGTGTTTTCATTTAAAAAAATATACTCCATAAGATTTTCGGTTTCGAAACACTGTGCCATTGTTTATTTAATGCATCCACCACTCGCCGGTCTCTCCGGCCTCTCTTCAAATTTTGCAAAAACCCATTGAACTTTTATCGGTCGCACATTTCACTCTGTCATTTCCCCAATTGAGAGTGGCGACAAAAAAGCTTTATAACTCCGACACTCTATTCTATTGCGTTAGTTGTTTTGAGAGCGTTTTGCTGGCTGGCAGGCAAGAATTTCAGAATTATTCACCGCAGAAATGGTTTTCCTAACGATTTTTATCGCCACTGTAGTTGTGGTGGTTGGTTATTTATTTTATCGCGTTCGAGAGCACTACAACTATTGGAATCGCCAGAATATTGCCCATGATCCTCCCCACTGGATGTTGGGCAACTTTAAGGGCCTTGCCGCGAATTTGTCACTCGGCGAGTGTGTCCAGGAGGTGTATGACAAATACCGGATGACGGGACCATTTTTTGGTTTCTATTGGTTCACCAAACCCTCGGCCGTGATTGTGGATCCACAGCTGGTGAAGCGCATTTTGATAAAAGATTTCTCCAAGTTCAGTGCTCGGGGTATGTTCCACAATACCGAAGATGATCCATTGTCGGGGCAGTTGTTTAACTTGGATGGACCCAAGTGGCGGAATATGCGTGTCCAGTTGACACCTGCCTTTACCTCGGGTAAGATGAAAATTATTTTCCCTACCATGGTGAAAATTAGTGAAGAAGTGGTTCAGGTGCTGCGGGAGGACGTCGGTCAGTCGCAGGCCATTGAGATATGGGATTTGATGGCCCGTTTCACCTCCGATGTCATTGGTCGCTGTGCCTTTGGCATCGAGACGAACAGTTTGAAAAATCCTAAATCGGAATTCCGTACAATGGGACGCAAGGGTATGATTGAGCAGCGGGGAGGGGTGTTGGGAGTGGCATTTCGCTTGAATTTCCCCCAATTGGCCCAGAGGTTGCACTGCAAGGAAACCATGCCCGATGTGGAGAAGTATTTCATGGATCTGATTGGTGAGACAGTGAAATATCGCGAGGAGAACAATATCAGATGCAATGATTTCATGGATATGCTAATCGATTTGAAAAATAAACCCCTGATGAAGTCGGATACAGGAGAGCAGCTGATTCGGCTGAGTTTTGGGGAGATAGCTGCCCAGGCGTATTTATTTTTACTGGCGGGATATGAGACCTCTGCATCGTCCCTGGCCTTTATTCTCTACGAATTGGCAAGGCATGAGGAGATACAGGAGAAAGTGAGAAATGAAATATCCGAGGTTTTGGGAAAACATAATCAGGAATTTTCCTATGAATGCATGAGGGAGTTAACGTACCTGGAACAGGTGATAAATGGTAAGAGAATCTCATCTTTCATATTTTCTATAATTTTCTAATAAAACTTCCCCCAATTCCCCCCTAGAAACTCTACGCATCCACTCCATTGCCCCATTTTTGAACCGGGTGGCCTCCGAAGACTACCCAGTACCGGATCACCCGAAATATGTCATACCCAAGGGTATGCCCGTCCTCATACCCATAGAAGCCATACAACACGATGAACGTTACTTTCCCCAGCCAAAGGTATTCGATCCGGAAAATTTCTCTGCCGAAAAAGTGGCTCAACGTGACTCGATTCTCCACCTGCCCTTTGGCGATGGACCTCGTAATTGTATTGGTGTGAGATTTGGGAAAATGCAAATTATTGTTGGTCTGGTGGTGCTTTTGAAGAATTTTAAATTTTCGGTGTGCCAGGAGACGCCCATACCGATGGTCTACAGTAAACAGGGTATTATTTTGTGTCCCGGCAATGGAGTGCCCTTGAAGGTGGAGAAGTTGTAGAGGGATGATAAGAAATGATACGGAATGAAGATGTGATAAAGAAAAAAATTATTATTCATTTGTTGTTATGAGGATCACAAATCATCAAAAAAATCGGAAAGTAATTAAAAAAAATAAAATTTAAAAAAAAAATTAGGAAAATATTAAAAAAAAAATAAAAAAATGAAAAAAAAAAAATTAAAATAATTGAAAAAAAAATAATAAACAAATAAAAAATTGAAAAATTAAAAAAAATGAAAATATCCTTATGGCAGATCCTTCAACGGAATGAAGATGTGATAAAGAAAAAACAATTGTTTAATTTGTTCTTATGAAGATCACAAATCGTCAAATAAATCGGAGAGTAATTTAAAAAAATTAAAAATTTTAAAAAAATTAGGAAAAAATGAAAAAAAAATTAAAAAAAATGAAAAAAATAAAAACATCCTTATGGCAGATCCTTCAAAAAAGTTCTTAAGAATTCCACGTTTGGGCAACCTTGTGATCCTTCTTGTAACTAAGAAATCCTTAAAAAGTAAATAAGATATCCACGTTTAGACCACCTTGTGATCATTAAAAAAAATCCTTAAGAACTCTACATTTAGACTACCTTGTGATCCTTTAAAAATTCACTTTTGGACAAGCATGTGTTCCATAAAAAAGCCAACGTTTGGAAACACTTTAATTTCATAAAGGATATTTTTAAAAATTTGCATTTGGTGGTCCTTGAAAAAACAAAATTCCATGAAAATCCTCGCCTGGTCCTTGAAAAACAAAAGAAAAAAATTGAAAAATTCTTTAAAAAGGAAAGTTTGTTGGTCTTTTGGTCCTTGAAAAATAGTTTTTTGGTATTTTAATCCTTGGAAAAATCCTTGATATTACCTTAAAAATTCCTAGTTGTTTATCGTTGAAATCGTTGAAATTTGTCCTTGAGAAATTAAATTATTGGTTTTTTTATCCTTGAAAAGATTACAGGTTTTAATTTTTCCATTCATGGAAAATTCCTTAAAATTTTTGAAAAAATATCTTAAAATTCCCAAGTTCTTGAAATTTGAGTCCATGGAAAAATTTCTTAAAAATCCTTGAAAAAATCTTAAAAATTTCAAGTTTTTTTTTTGGTTTTTAATTCTTGGAAAAATACCTTAAATTTTTTATTATTCGTTGGAAAAATCTTTAAAAATCCTTTAAAAAATTTTAATAAATTCGTGCTCTTATTTCTTTGAAGAACCCTTTAAAAATCCTTGAAAAAATCTTAAAAAATCCAAGGTTTTAAATTTTTGGTATTTCAATCCATGGAAAAATTCCTTAAAAACCCTTGAAAGTATCTTAAAAATTTCAAGTTTTTTTTTTTGAATTTTTAATCTTTGGACAAATACCTTAAATCCGGTTTTTTTTTTTGGATTTTTTAATCGTTGGAAGAATCTCTTAAAAATTTTTAATAAATTCGTGTTTTTAATCCTTGAAAAATCTCTTAAAATCCTTGGAAAAATCTTAAAAAAGCCTGGGTTTTAAAGGATTTAAAAATTCGTTAAAATCCTTGAAAAAATTTTTTAAATACAGTTATTTTGGTATTTTAATCCTTGAAAATCCTTGAAAAAAATCTTCAAAAGCCTGGGTTTATAAGTATTTTTATCCTCTGAAAGTCCCTCAAAAAATATTTTAAAAAACTCCGGATTTTGAAAAAATCTCTGAAATCCTTGAAAAAAATTCTTAAAAATTACAGTTTGTTTTTACCTTTAATCCTTGAGAAAATCCTTTAAAACTCCTTGATAAAAATTCGATGTTTTTTTCAATCCCTTTAAATCCCTTTAAAAGTGTAAAATTCCAGGATTTTGGGTATTTTAGTCCTTGGAAAAACCCTCAAAAATCTCTGAAAAAAATTCATGTTTTTGTGTTTTTTTAATTCTTAGAAAAATTCTTGAAAAATACTTTAAAAACCCGGTTTTTTGGTTCTTTTAATCTTTCGAAAAATTCTTTAACAAATCTTGGAAAGAAAATTCTAAAAAATTCCAGTTTTTTAGGCATTTCAATCCTTGGAAAAATCCCTTAAAAAATGTTTAAAAAAATCTTGTAAAATCCGGGTTTTTTAAAAAAGTTCCTTAAAAATCCTTGACAAAATTTCTTTAAAAAATCCACGCTTCTCTGTTGGTTATTGAAAAATCCCATGGAAAATCCTTTTAAAAATGTAAAATTCCTGCATTTCGGGTATTTAAGAACTTGGAAAAAACCCTCAGCAATCCCAAAAAAAATCTTAAAAAAATCCTGTTTTTTGTTTTTTTAATTCATAGATAAATCCTTGAAATTGTTTTTTTAATCCTTGGAAAAATTCTTTAAAATATCTTGGAAAGAAAATTCTTAAAAATTCCGGGGGTTTTAAGCCCTGGAAAAATCCTTTAAAAATGTTTAAAAAATCTTGAAAAAGCCGGGGTTTTTAATCCTTTAAGAAGTACTTAAAAATCTTTTAAAAAAAACACACCTCTGTTGGTCCTTGGGAAATATATTCTCAAAAATCTTTGAAAAAAAATATTCTTTAAAAAATCTATGCTTCTCTGTTGGTCCTTGAAAAAAATATTCTTTAAAAAATCCACCCCTATGTTGGTCCTTAAAAAAATATTCTTTAAAAAATCCACGACTCTGTTGGTCCTTGAAAAAATATTCTTTAAAAAATCCACGTCTCCGTTTTTCATTGAAAAAAATATTTTTTAAAAAAAACCATGCCTCTGTTTTTGATTGAAAAAAAAAATATTCTTTAAAAAGTTCACGCCTCCGTTTTTGATTGAAAAAAATATTCTTTAAAAAATCCACACCTCTGTTGTTGGTTGAAAAAATATTCTTTAAAAAGTTCACGCCTCTGTTTTTGATTGAAAAAAATATTCTTTAAAAAATCCACACCTCTGTTGTTGGTTGAAAAAATATTCTTTAAAAAGTTCACGCCTCTGTTTTTGATTGAAAATAATATTCTTTAAAAAATCCACGCCTCCGTTGGTCTTTGAAAAAAAATATTCTTTAAAAAATCCACGCCTCTGTTGTTGATGGAAAAATATTCTTTAAAAAATCCACGCTTCTGTTGGTCCTTGAAAAAAATATTCTTTAAAAAATCCACGCTTCTGTTGGTCCTTGAAAAAAATATTCTTTAAAAAATCCACGCCTTTGGTGGTCCTTGAAAAAAATATTCTTTAAAAAATCCACGCCTTTAGTGGTCCTTGAAAAAAATATTCTTTAAAAAATCCACGCCTTTAGTGGTTCTTGAAAAAAATATTCTTTAAAAAATCCACGCCTTTGGTGGTCCTTGAAAAAAATATTCCTTAAAAAATCCACGCCTTTGGTGGTCCTTGAAAAAGTATTCTTTATAAAATCCACGCCTCTGTTGTTGATTGAAAAAATATTCTTTATAAAATCCACGCCTCTGTTGTTGATAGAAAAAATATTTTTTAAAAAATCCACGCCTCTGTTGTTGATAGAAAAAATATTTTTTAAAAAATCCACGCCTCTGTTGGCCCATGAAAAAATATTTTTTAAAAAATCCACGCCTCTGTTGTTGATTGAAAAAGTATTCTTTATAAAATCCACGCCTCTGTTGTTGATAGAAAAAATATTTTTTAAAAAACCCACGCCTCTGTTGTTGATTGAAAAAATATTCTTTAAAAAATCTACGCCTCTTTTGGTCTTTGAACAAAAATATTCTTTAAAAAATCCACACTTCTGTCGGTTCTTGGAAAAAATATTCTTTAAGAAATCCACGCCACTGTTGATACTTGAAAAAAAAAATCTTTAAAAAATCTACGCAAAAATCCACTGGTGGCTTCTTAATTTTTTTTTTTTTCAAAAAATAATTTCCACCTTTATTTTCCTTAAATTTTCTCAACTTTCAAAACAATTTTCTTTTCCGGATAATTTATAAAATTTCGGGCCTTGAACACCAATGGAATTGGGGTCGAAGCACATGTGGAAAACTTAAAATCCTTCAACAACATTGCTAGACTAATCAGAGTTACCATTTTGGCAAAACGTAGACCAATACAGCTGCGCGGGCCCTGGCCAAAGGATAGATTGAGAATTGAATCTCTTAACTTAACAGCTTCTGGACTAAAATTATCGGGATCAAATTTGTTGGCATTGTTGAAGTATCGGTCATCACGATGAATGGCCCCGGCTGGTATGAAAATGGGTGTGCCCTTTTTGATGAAATATTTTGGGTGCTGGGCTACTCTATAATCCTCTAAGGCCTGGCGAGTCAATACATAACCAAGAGGATATAGGCGAAGGGTTTCTGGAAGCAGATAAAGGGAATAAATTTAAGTTCTGATTTTTTTTAACGGATCTTTGACAATTTTTTAAAATCAAATATTTGTATGCCTTACCCTGCATAATTTGCTCCAAATACCCCAATTCCTTCAGAGCTTCATAGTCCAGTCCTCCATTATGCCTCCTCAAGACCTCCATAATTTCATGCATTGCCTTTTGTTGCACCTCCTGATTTTGTGCCAATTCATAAAGAGCATAAGTGAGGGCGCTGGCTGAGGACTCATAGCCCGCCAACATGAAGAGAAATGCCTGGGCCGCCACTTGATTGAAGGACAAATCTGTAGGATCCTCTCCGGACCCCTTAAGCTCCATTAACATATCCATAAAATCATTGCGCCTTACCCCATGTTCCTCTCTATGTTCCATGGTGTCTTGGACAAGTTTCATGAAAAATTTCTCCACCTCGGGTAGGGTTTCTTTGATACCCAGTTTCTTTGATATTTCAGGAAAACACATCTATCGCCAGTCAAGTTAAACAACTGGCCCGTCAGGGGATCATCTCTCTCATTGCAGTACATCATGTGGGTGTTGAATTTCGGGAAATCGGTTATAAGAATACGACGTATCAATTCCGGATCCATCACCATTACCGTGGGCTGTGCGAAACAATAGAAACCCACGAAGGGTCCTCCCTTCTGCTTATATTTCTCATAGTAATCACGAAATAATTGGCAAAGGGATTTTCGGCTCACAGCATCGCCAAAGTTTCCCAAAATCCAATTTGGCGGAGCACAGGGTATGCCACGACGTTGCCAATACGAAAAATGTCGCCCAAGGTAATGGAAAATTAGTAGCAGGGCAATGAGGGCAAAATAAATTGAAACCATTTTTTTTTTAACTTTTCAAAACTTTTTATCCGCACATTTGAGGTTTGTGTTGTTGTTCGCTTGAATTCGCAACTGTAACTGAAATATAATTTTATTTGAAACTAATTGCGAAAAATATTGTAGTTTTCATTGAACTTGATTATTGAAACCAGATTAAAGTAGTTCCGCTGTTAGAAGTTAATAGGATTCGGATTGGTGGAAAATTACAAAATTTCAATATTAAAACTTGATTGAAAATTGTTTTATTACAATGCGATTGCGATTTTCGGGGAGAACATGCGATTTTCGGGGAGAACAGAGCTTTGAGGGTTATTCAAGAGATAAAAGGTCTTTAAGACCACCTTAGGGTCTGCTACGAAATTAAAATCCTGTAAAAGAATTCAATAGATAAAAGATCGTTTTAAGTTTTGGATAGTAGAACTTCCATAGGTCTCCAATGAAATTCTAAAAGCTATCGAAGTATTCTTTGGGGAGAAGACCTATGGTTATGGTTAAAAGTTCGGTTTAGTTTAGTAAAAACTTTCGAATTTTTTTCAACTTTTTTCAGAGATATGAGTTCATATCCTGATTCCGGGATAATATTTTATCTTGTGGGGACGCACCCGGATGCCCGAATATTCAACCCAAAAGTCCGTGTTTAAGACCCGGCATAGATCGGGACGTACTAAACCGAAATGGACAATATATTTATCATTTGAAAGCTGACGCCGTATTGTGGTCACTTCTTGGGAAGTTATTTTAATTAGCTTTTAATTAGCTTTCAAAATCGGTTTAGTAGATCCGAATCTAACCCGGGTCTTGAACCCGAACTTTTAATGTGACCACTTGTTGAATAGGTATTTTCATTAGCTCTCAAACGAAACCTATATTGCCAATATCGGTTTTAGTAGATCCGGATCATGAACCCGCACTTGTGGGCCAAATATACGGGTCATTTGAAAGCTAACGTAATGTGATCTCTTGTTGGAATGGTATTTTCATTAGCTTTCAAACGATACCCATATCGCCAATATCGGTTTGAAAGATCCGGATCTAACCCGGGTCTGGAACCCGAAATTTTAATGTGGCCACTTGCTGAACAGATGTTACCATTAGCTTTCAAATGATACCTATATTGCCAATATTGGTTTGGTAGATCCGGATCTTCCCCGGGTCGGCGAACCGAACTTTTCGATCAAATATCCGGGTATCCGGGTCATTTGAAAGCTAACGTAATGCAATCTTTTGTTGGATAGGTATTTTCATTAGCTTTCAAACGATATCGCCAATATTGGTTTAGTAGATCCGGATCTAACCCGGGTATTCGAACCGAACTTTTGGATCAATTATCCGGGTCATTTGAAAGCCAACGTAATGTGATCTCTTGTTGGATAGGTATTTTCATTAGTTTTCCAACGATACCCATATAGCAAATATCGGTTTAGTAGAACCGAATCTAAACCGGGTCATGAACCCGCACTTTTGGGACAAATATCCGGGTCATTTGAAAGCTAACGTAATGTGATAGGTATTTTCATTAGCTTTCAAACGATACCCATATCGTCAATATCGAATTAGTAGATCCGGATCTAACCCGGGTCTTGAACCCGAAATTTTAATGTGACCATTCGTTGGATAGGTATTTTCATTAGCTTTTAAACGATGCCTATATTGCCAATTTAGTAGATCCGGATCTAACCCGGGTCTTCGAACCGAATTTATGGATCAAATATCCGGGTATCGGGGCCATTTGAAAGCTAACATAATGTGATGGATAGGTTTTTATATATTTTAAACGATACCCATATCGCCAATGCGGTTTGGACGATCCGGATCAAACCCGGGTCTAGAACCCGAACTTTTAATGTGACCACTTGTTGAATAGGTATTTTTATTACCTATGAAATTATGCTAATATCGGATTTGTAGATCCGGATCTAACCCGGGTATTCGAACCGAACTTTTGGATCAAATATCTGGGTATCGGGGTCATCTGAAAGCTAACATAATGTGATGGATAGGTATTTTTTATATCTTTCAAACGATACCCATATCGCCAATACCGGTTTAGTAGATCCGGATCCAACCCGGGTCTGCAACCCGAACTTTTAAGGTGACCATTCGTTGGATAGATATTCTAATTAGCTTTCAAACGATGCCTATATTGCCAATATCAGATTAGTAGATCCGGATCCAAACCCGGGTCTTCGAACCGAAATTTTGGGTAAAATATCCGGATATCCGGGTCCGTCCCCCAAGAAAAAAATATACCTTCTCGGAATCATGGTACAAATGTCTACCTCTGGAAAAGATTTCAAAACTAGAGTTGTTTTTTTTTTGTTCCAACAGTTCCTTGGGTGGTCTCCAAAGGTTTCTTGGTAAATTTTCAAGAACCGCTTACAGTTTCTTAAAAATAGACGACGTCCAGAGAGATTTCATGAATATAACTCTTTTCAGAGTTCTAGAAAGAAGATTTACAAGAGGTTCTTGGAATTTTGCACTCCCCCTAATGGTTTTTCAAAAACCGAAAGCTTTTTCCAGGTCTGTAGAGGTAAGATGTGGATATACCACCTTCTGGAGGTCTCCTATAAAAATAAGGTTTAAAGTCCTTCACATTCGTAATATGCATTCGACAACAATGATATTTGGTACCCGATATCAGATGCAGCTCTGAAATAAGTGTATTATATTTTGTTAAGATCGGTTCAGATACATGGATATAGCTCCCCTACATATATATTCAACCGATTTCGGCTTAATTGTGCACCAAATGGCCAATATCAGTCCAAATGACCTGAATTTTGGTACATCCGACCAAAATCAGTCTAGAAGCAAGTTAACCAAATTTGGAGAAAATCGGCTTAGTTATAGCTATAGCTCCTATATATATATATATATATATATATATATATATATATATATATATATATATATATATATATATATATATATATATATATATATATATATATATATAGGTTTCATCCGATTTGGGGTTTTAAGTCCCTCAAATGCGTAATATGCATTCGACAACAATGATATTTGGTACCAGATGCCAGATATAGCCCAGAAATACATCTGCCAAATTGTAGCAAGATCGGTTCAGTTTTGGATATAGCTCCCATACATATATCATCAACCGATTTTGGGTTAATTGGGCACCAAATGGCCATTATCAGTCCAAATGACCTGAAATTTGGTACATCCCACCGAATTCAGTCTGGAGGCAAGTACATCAAATTTGGAGACAATTGGTTCATATATAGCTATAGCTGCCATATATATGTTTCATCCGATTTGGGGTTTTAAGTGCCTCACATGCGTAATATGCACTACACAAGAATGATATTTGGTACCAGACATCAGATACAGTCCAGAAATACCTCTGCCAAATTTTACGGAGATCGGCCAAGATTTGGATATAGCTCCCATACATATATCTTCAACCGATTTCGGCTTAATTGTGCACCAAATAGCCAATATCAGTCCAAATGACCTGAATTTTAGTAGATCCGACCAAATTCAGTCTAGAAGCAAGATAATCAAATTTAGATAAAATCGGTTCAGATATAGCTATAGCTCCCATATATATGTTCCATCCGATTTGGGGTTTTAAGTCCTTCACATGCGGAATATGCACTCCACAAGAATGATATTTGGTACCAGATGTCAGATACAGCTCAGGAATGCCTCTGTCAAATTGTATCAAGATCGGTTCAGAATTGGATATAGCTCCCATACATATATCTTCAACCGATTTTGGGGTAATTGTGCACCTAATGGCCAATATTAGTCCAAATGACCTTAATTTTGGCATATCCGACCGAATTCAGTCTAGAAGCAAGTCCATCAAATTTGGAGAAAATCGGTTCGGATATAGCTATATCTCCCCTACATATGTTTCATCCGATTTGGGGTTTTAAGTCCTTCACATTCGAAATATGCATTCGACAACAATGATATTTGGTTCCAGATATCTTATAGAGCTCGGAACTACCTTTGCCAAATTTTATGGAGATCGGTTCAGATTTAGATATAGCTCCCATATATATCCCTGATCCGACTTCAGGTTTTTTGTGCCAATAATGGCTAATGCCAGCCCAAATGGAGTGAATTTCGGTTTCCATTGTTGGGTTTTCATACCAAAAAAATTCGAATTTCCCATTTTCGATTTTTTTTTCGATTTCTTCAATTCGCTGAAAATGGGCCAGAAAAGTCACGTCACTTTTTAAAAATAATATTTAATTACAATTTTTTTTTTTCAATAAAATTTTTTTTTCTAAAGAAGCTTTTATTTCAAATTTTCGTAGAACAAGTGTTGAGGTTGCAGTTTACAACAATTTTGCGCTGGAAAAATTCAGAATCTCTTGAAACAAAATTTCTACCCCTCCGATCATTAACTATTTTCTCTGAGTAAACAAGCATTTTTATTCTCTCATTTTATCCCCCCCATTTGAAAAGCTTTCATTAGACATCGGTGCTTCGGTGCATTAGTCTTATTTTTACAACGGCTGCGATAAGTTCATCAAATCTTTTAATTAATTATTGTACGCTATTGTTGTTGTTGTTGCTTTTGTTTTTAATTCATGATGATCGCTCTGGCAATACTACTCAGTGTTCTGCTCATTTTAATTGCTTACATTGGCCGTTTATTGAGTGAACATTTCAATTACTGGCGTCATCAGGGTGTTGCCTGTGAACCGCCCAATTGGCTGCTGGGCAATTTAAGGGGTCTCTCGACGAGTCGTTCCTTTAATCAAATCATCAGGGAATACTATGAGAAATATAGAAATTCCGCTGGACCCTTTGCTGGGTTCTATTGGCTACATAAGAAGGCGGTTTTTGTCTTGGATCCGGAATTGATCAAACAGATTCTCATTAAGGATTTCAACAAATTCACCGATCGTGGCTTCTTTAGCAACGAAGAGGATGATCCCCTGTCGGGCCAGTTGATCAACTTGAGTGGCAATAAATGGCGGAATATGAGAAACAAATTATCTCCTGCCTTTACATCTGGCCGCATGAAGGCCATGTTTCCATTGGTCATAAAATTGGGTTACGATTTGGTTGAGGTGGTGGGTGAGCGTTTGAAAAACCACGACGATGTGGTGGAAGTTCGCGATTTGGCAGCCTTTTTTACCAGCGATGTCATTGGCACCTGTGCCTTTGGTCTCAACATGAATTGCATGAAAAATTCCGATGCGGAATTTTTAAAAATGGGCCGCAAAGCCCTGAATGAGCAGCGCTACGGGACCTTGGGATTTGTACTACGTTTCAGTTTTCCCGATCTTTGTCGTCGGCTGCACATGAAAGAGACCCTGGACGATGTGGAGAAATATTTTATGCAAATTGTCCAAGAGACCGTGGACTATCGTGAGCGGGAGAATGTAAAGAGAAACGATTTTATGGATATGTTAATCGATTTGAAAAATAATAAGCTGATAAAGGATGAGTCGGGAGAGGAGTTCATCAACTTGACATTTGGTCAAATTGCCGCGCAGGCTTTTGTTTTTCTGCTGGCCGGCTTCGAAACCTCATCGACAACAATGAGTTTTGCCCTCTATGAATTGGCGCAGCATTTGGAGGTGCAACAGAGGGCGAGGGAGGAAGTGGGGAACGTTTTGAAGGCCCATAATGGGACATTTGATTATGAGTGCTTAAAGGAAATGGTGTATTTGGAGCAGGTGATACAGGGTAAGCTTAAAAGCTATTGTATTCAGAGAAGTACCTAAAAAGTTCGCTTATTCATAAAATTCTCTTAAAAGCTTTTTTGTTCGTGGAAGTCCCAGAAAAAATCTTTTATCCATAAAAAGCTGTTTTATTTATATTCTCTTAAAGCTCTTCCAGTCATAGAAGTCCCTAAAAAGTTCATTGAAAGCTTTTCTATTCCTATAGGTCCTCTAAAAACGATTTTATTTATAAAGTCTATTTAAAGCTCTAATAGTCATTAAAAAGCTCTTCTGTTCATAGAAGTTCATTAAAATATCTTGCATTCAAAGAAGTCCATTAAAGCTCCTTTATTCATGGAAGTTCCCTTAAAAGCTTTTATATCCATAAAAGTCTCCTAAAAGCTCTTAAGTCTCTTTAAAGCTCCTATATTCATGGAAGTCCCCTTAAAAGCTCTTATATCCATAAATGTCTCCTAATAGCTCTTAAGTCTCCTTAAGTCTCTTAAAAGCTCCTATATTCATGGAAGTCCCCTTAAAAGCTCTTATATCCATAAAAGTCTCCTAAAATCTCTTAAGTCTCCCTAAGTCTCTTAAAAGCTCCTATATTCATGGAAGTCCCCTTAAAAGCTCTTATATCCATAAAAATCTCCTAGATTCTCTTCTATTCATATAAGTCCCTTAAAAGCTTTTCTATTCATAGAACTTCCTTAAAAGCTCTTCTAATCATGGCAATTTTTTAAAGGTCTTCAATTTATTGAAGTTCCTCAAAAGTCTATTAAAGGCTCTGCTATTTATAGAAGTTCCTTAAAAGCCCATCGATTCATAGAAGTCCATTACAAGCTCTTCCATTTATAGAAGTCCTCCAAAAGTCCCTTTAAAGCTCTTATATTTTTTGATATGCATTAGCAACTCTTCTATTCATAGAAGTCCCTTAAAAGATCTTATACCCATAAAAGTCTCCTAAAAGCTCTTAAGTCTCCTCAAGTATCTTAAAAGCTCCTTGATGGAAGTCACCTTAAAAGCTCTTATATCCATATCCAGTCTCGAAATAGCTCTTTTATTCATAGAAGTCCCTCAAAAGCTTTTCTATTCATTGAAGTCCCTTTAAAGCTTTTATATTTTCAGATATGCCTTAGCAACTCTTCTATTCATAGAAGTCCCTAAAAAGCTTTTGTATTCATATAAGTCCCTTAAAGGTTAATTGAAAGCTTTTCTATTTATAGAAGTCTTTCAAAAACTCTTGAATTCATAAAAGTCCTTTAAAAGCTCTTGTATTCATATAAGCCAATTGAAGGTTCATTGGAAGCTCTTCCATTCTTATAACTCTCCCAAAAGTTCTTCTATTCAAGGAAGTCCCTTAAAAGCTCTCATATTCATAGCAGTATCTTAAAAGCATTTTTAAAGCTCTTCTGTAATTATATTCATAGTAGTCTCTTAAAAGCTTTTCTATTCATAGTTCAAAGTTACCCATTACAAGCTCTTCCATTCATAGAAGTCCCTCAAAGCTTTTCTATTCCCTTAAAAACTCCTGTATTCATATAAATCCCTTAAAGGGTTTTTGAAAGCTTTTTATTTATAGATGCTTTCAAAAGCTCTTGAATTTATAAAAGTCCCTTAAAAGCTCTTGTATTCATAAAAGTCCCTTGAAGGTTCATTGAAAGTTCTTTCATTCTTCTAAGTCCCTTAAAAGCTCTTATATTCATAGACGTTGCTTAAAATCAGTTTAAAAGCTCTTCTATTATTATAGGTCCCCAAAAGTTCTTCTATTCAAAGAACTCCCTTAAAAGCTCTTCTATTCATAGTAGTCTCTTAAAAGCTTTTCAGTCATCCCTTCAAAATTACACTATACATACAAGTCCTGTAAAAGCTTTTGTATTCATGGAAGTCCCTTAGAAGGCCCTTAAAAGTCTATTAAAAGCTCTTCTAAAATTATAGGTCCACCAAAGGTTCTTCTACAGAGAAGCTCTTTTATTCATAGAAGAAGTTCTTTTATTTATAGAAGTCCCTTCAAAGCTTTTATATTCATATAAGTCCCCCAAAAACCCTTGTATTCATAGGAGTCCCCTAAAAGTGTTCTAAAAAGCTCTTCCATTTTGTAATTTTTCTAAAAGTTCTTCTATCCATTGATGTACCTTAAAAGCCCCTACTCTTTCTATCATTCCCTTAAAAGCTCTACTGCTTAAGGAAGCCCCCCAAAAGCTCTTCTAATCGTATATGTCTATTGAAAGCTTTTCTTTCGATAAAAGCCCATTAGAAGTCTATGCAAAGCTCTTTCATTCATAGAAGTCTCTTTAAAGCTCTTTTATGAATGGGAGACATTTGGAAACTTATGTCATGAGCAATCTTCTTATAAATCTTACATTTTCATTGGCGCCATCTACATGTCAACTTTTTTTATCCTTTAGATTTGTTTTTTTAATTTTCAGAAACCCTGCGCTTCTACACCACCATACCCACCATTAATCGTCTGGCTTCCGAAGACTATGTGGTCGCCGATAATCCCAAATATGTCATCAAAAAAGGCATGGCTGTTGTTATACCCGCCGCAGCTCTGCATCGCGATGAACGTTACTATCCCCAACCGGATGTTTTTAATCCCGAACATTTTACCGCTTCTCAAGTTGCCGAACGTGATTCGGTGTTAAATTTATCCTTCGGTGATGGTCCCCGCAACTGTATCGGCATGCGTTTTGGTAAAATGCAAGCTATGATCGGATTGGCATTGCTGTTGAAGAACTTCCGTTTCACGGTCTGTGAAAAAACTCAAATTCCATTGAAGTTGGATAAGAAGAGCATCATTGTGGCGCCGGAGAGCGGTATTTATTTGCGTGTGGAGAGGATTTGAAGAGAAGGGAATGAAATATAATTGTGGGATTATTTACAGTTCTGCTCAGAGCCGTGTGCTAGCACATGAGGCCGCAAAAGAGAGCATTTGAGAGAAAATTAATATTTTATTTAACGAAATTTATAACTAACAATAAAGAAATAAATAATGTTTTAACACTTATTTGTTGATGATTTCTAAAAGCAAAGGGAAATTGACTGGTGAGCGGGCTCTTGCTCTTGAGCAGCACTGGTTATTTAGAAATGTTTTTTTAATTTTCTTTCAGAGGGACTTTGAGACAAATAATTTTGGGGTTTTAAAGATATTTTTCTGAAGGACTCTGGGGCACATGAAGGATTATTTTTGAAGGAGTCTGAGAGCAATAATTTGGGAAATAAAGGGATATTTTTGGCAGAACTTTAAAAACATCAAAAAGGAATAGACCAATATCCCTAAATTCCAAACGATTTTTAGGGAGATCCTTAGAAACACCAATCGCATTGTTTAAAAGTATTTATTTGTGGATTACTTAATTTTTCCAAAGGATTTTTCTAGGGATTTATTTTAGATTTTTTTGGTGAGGAACTATTACCCAGTGACGAAAGTTTTTAAAAGGCTTTTTAGCAGAAAACCTTGTGACCAATTGTTTTGTATTCTTATAGGAACTTTGGGGAGGACTTTGGGATCAATAATTGTTGATTTTGAAAGGATTTTTTGGAATTACTTAAAAGCTTAAAAACGTGGTTCATAAAGGATTGTTGGGGAGAACTTTCAAAAATACATTGAGGCCACAAATCGTGAATTTTGAAGGATTTTTTGGGAGGATTTATAGACCAATAATCTTGAATTTTGAAGGATTTTTGAAGAGGATCTTTAGACAATCAATTTTGAATTTTTAAAGGATTTTTGTTTTTGAGGACTAATTTTGAATTAAATGATCTTTTGGGGAGGAATAATCATCGATTTTTGGAGGGGACTTTAAGACCACATAATCCTGAACTTTTAAGGATTTTGGGAAGTCCTTGAGGCCACCAATCTTGAATTTTTACAGGACTTTTGGGAGGAGAATTTATACTCCAAAAAGGAAGTTTTGAAGAATTTCTGTTGAGGATCTTCAGACAACCAATCTTGGATTTTTAGAGCAATAATCCTGAATTCTTTAGACTACCAAATTTAGATTTTAAATATTTTTTTTCTGGGGACTAATTTTGGATTTTTTTAAAAAATTGGGGATGACTTTTTGACCAACAATCCTGAATTTTGAAGTATTTTTGGGGAGAATCTTCAGATTACCAATTTTGAATTGTTAAAGGATTTTTTTGGAGTAATTTGGAGTTTTAATTTCGGGTGCTTATTTCGAATTTTATGAGAGTAATAATAATTGTGGGGGAGGTACCAGAAAGAATAAGCCGATATATCCCATATTCACTTCAGTTTTTGTTTTGAATGAAATGTTGGATTGTGGGAAATACGAAAATAGTCGGACTCTTATTTAGTATTTAATGAGATATATAATTATTCAAAATTTTGACCTCTTTATGGGGGAGGTACCAGAAGGAATAATCCGATATATCCCATCTCACACCAAGTGTGACTCCTTCGTTGGAAGAGGTGGACTGATATCTGTAGTCCTATTGTGATGTGTGAAATTTCAAGAGAATCGAATGATTATTTCGCAGTTTATAAGCGTTGCGATTAATCAAAATTGTAACCGCTTTGTGGGGGAGGTACCAGAAGGAGTGCTGCCCCATATTTCATCTCTATACCAGACCTTGTGTTGATAGAAATATGGTGTTGTGTGAAATGTTAAAAGAATCGGGTACTTATTTCGAATTTCATGAGATATACAATTTTTCAAAAGTTTTACCCCTTGCTCGGACAGGTACTATAGCGGAGTGAGCCGATATTGTTAATTTTCGCACCTTAGCTGGTATTGCAAAAAATATTGATATTTGCCAAATTTAATGTTCCGTGGGGGAGGAACGGTAAGGAGTGAACCTATGTTGCTCATCTCCTAACTGGATCTATGTTTCATATTAGTCTTACGATGTAGCAAGTTTGGAGCAAATCTGATGCTCACTTTGAAAGTTATTGTCCTTTACATCCAGCCAGATGGGCGAACGTACGCCCATAGGTCGACTTCAAATGTCCTGAAACAAAATTGGTCCAAAAAGACCAAAGAGGGTCTAGAATTGTTATTTCGATTAGGCAATAAAATAACCTCAAGAGATCTTCTAAGTCCAGAAGGTCTTTCGGAGCTCTTCTATATATAGAAAGCCCTCCGGAGCTCTTATATATATAGAGATGTATTTTAGCCTTGAAAAAGGTTCAGGAGGTCTTCTCCTTCAGGAAGTCTGGAAAACCCTTAGTGGGTCTTATCTGTTTGGAAAACCTTCAAGAGGTCTTCTCGGTCTAGAAGACTCTTCGGCATAAAAGACCCTCAGAAGGTATTTTCATTCCAGAATGACTTTCGAAAGACTTCTCGTACCAGAAGGCCCTCATGAGGTGTTTTCAATCTAGAAGACCCTCAAGAGGTTTTCACTGTCTACAAGGCTTCCAGGAGGCCTTCTCAGTTCCGAAAGCCTTTTAGAGGTCTTCTCCGTCTATAAGACTCTCACTTTTTAAAAAAAAATATTTTTTATTTACTTATATTCAATTAAAACAGTTACCTATCCCCTAGGGCCATGGACGGTTCCAAAAACTTCTATACATAACTACTCTAAATCCTCTAAACAAATTTTTGGAATACTTGGATTTAAAAAAATATATATTTTTTCCAAGGATCAAAAAACGTGTTTTTTTTAAATATTTTTTTCCAAGGATCACCAACGTGAATTAAAAAAAAAAAAACTTTTTCCAAGGATCAAAGAAATGGGATTTTTTAAAAAAAGTTTTTGCAAGGATCAAAAGAGGATTAAAAAAAAAAATTCAATGTTGATGATCCTTGGAATCCGTGGATTTTTTAAAAAATATTTTTTCAATGTAGATGATCCGTGGATTTTTAAAAAACATATTTTTACCAAGGATCACCAAACTTGGATTAAAAAAAAACACTTTTTCCAACGATTAAAGAAATTCGATTTTTAAAATCTATTTTTTCCAAGGATAAACAACGATCAACAAACGTGGATTTAAAAAAAATCGTGGATTTAAAAAAAAATATTTTTTTCAACGATCAACAAACGTGGATTTAAAAAAAACGTGGATTTTAAAATAAATATTTTTTCAACGTTTTAAAAAAATATATTTTTTCCAAAGAAAAACAAACGTGGATTTTTAATTTTTTTTTTTTTTTAATTTTCTTTCAAAGGACATTGCATATTTAAATGTTTCCAGGTGAGGACTGCACGGTCTATAAAGCTCTCAGTAGATCTTCACGTCCCAGAAGACCCTCAGAAGATCTCATCGGTGTAGAAAACCTTCAGGATGTCTTCTCGATCTAGAAAATCCTCAGGAGGTCTTCTAGGTCTAGAAAATCCTCAGGAGGTCTAATGGTCTAATGTCCTGAAATAGATTTGGTCCAAAGAAGCCAAAGATCTAGAATTGTTATTTCAATAAGGCTTGTTTTGGTCGTATCAAATGAAATATACGCTCTGTCTAAAGATATAAAAAACGTAAAAAATCCGAGTGTCCAAACATTTTTCAAATTTTAATTTCTGAAGGCCCGAAAATTCTGATTTTTCAAAAAAAAAAAAAAAAAAAACAATTACCGTGAGATATTATTATTGAAAAAATAATAACTAAATAATTAAAAACAAAATAGAATCCGAAAATCAATGTGTCCTCGATGACTAATATAATATCAATATATCTGAGTTTTTAAAAATTTGGTAAGATCGTCCTTTATAACGCCGATCCACTGTCTTTTAAACAATTGAATTTTTTTATTTCAAAATTAATTTGCGCGTTCTAAGTATGCGTGTGTGTTTTGAATACATTAAAGAAAGTTTTTAAATTTTATTATTTGTTTTGTTGTTTGTTTTTATTTTTCTCAATTTTGTTTTGCTCGCTCAGTCTGGACAAAGTGATTGTCAAGGTGTTTGTTTTATTATGGCATCACAGATGCATGTACCGGCAAATATCTCACTTCCCTTTTACGGCGCCCAAAAAGCAAATACAAAGTACAATATGTGAAATTTCAGATCAAATGAAAGCTTTAAAACATATCGTTCGCCATAGAATGCCTGTCAGTTTTAAATCTAATTTGGCGGTGGTCGTATCAAAAAAGAACTCTCGTTGGAGCAAGGTGAAATAAAATTGCGAGAAAAATTCTGAGATTTATTCAAAAACAAAAAAAAAAAAAATAAAAGACCTCAATATGGATCTCACAACCCTGCTGATGACCGCGGTCATCCTGCTACTCATGTATGTGGGCTATTTGCTGCACAAACGCTATACCTACTGGGAGTCGCAGGGTATAGCCTGTGACAAACCCAATTGGCTGCTGGGCAGCCTCAGTGGAGCCATGACCTCGAAAACCGTCGAACAAATCCTAAGGGAGTACTATGAAAAATACAAAAATTCTGGACCCTTTGTGGGCTTCTATTGGTTCACCAAACCGGCAGCGTTTGTCACCGATCCCCAGTTGCTGAAGCAAATACTCATCAAGGATTTCTCCAAATTCACCGATCGTGGTTTGTACTGTAACGAAGAGGATGATCCCCTGTCGGGACATCTCTTCAATTTGGATGGCAACAAATGGAGGCATATGCGCACCAAATTAACTCCCACCTTTACCTCGGGCAAAATGAAGGGTATGTTCCCATTCGTCACAAAGCTGGGGCAAGACATGGTTGATGTGGTCGAGGAGAGAATCACCACAGATCCTGATATAGATGTCAAAGATTTGGCGGCATGTTTTACCATCGATGTCATTGGCAGCTGTGCCTTTGGCCTGGAAATGAACTGTTTGAAGGGGAAAAATCCCGAATTTCGCAACATGTGTCGTCGCGCTTTCGTGGTACAACGTTATGGCGTTTTGGGTCTGGCCCTGCGTTTTGGCTTCCCCGAATTAGCTCATTATTTGCGAATAACCGAAACCATGCCCGATGTGGAGAAATTCTTTATGGACATTGTCAGGGACACCATGGAAATGCGTGAGAAGAACAATATCAAACGGAACGATTTCATGGAAATGTTGATCGACATGAAGAACAACAGGCTGATGAAGAGTGAGGATGGCGAAGAGTTGACCAACTTGACATTTGGTCAGGTAGCGGCCCAGGCATTTGTTTTTATTTTGGCTGGCTTTGAGACTTCATCGACGACAATGAGTTTTGCTCTGTATGAGCTGGCCCAGAATCAGGAGTTCCAGGATCGGGCAAGAGAGGAAATTGTGTCGGTATTGGAGAGACATAAGGAGTTCAGCTATGAGTGCTTGAAGGAAATGGTGTACTTGGATCAGGTTATGCAAGGTAAGTGGGAAGATGGGGATAAAGAAGGGGAGTATTCTGGCAGAACTAGGCTTTTAGAAGACCTTTCATGAAGAGAGGCCCTCAGATGGTCTTCTGTACATTGAAGACCCTCGGGAAGACTTCCATGAATTGAAGACCCTCAGATAGTATTTTATGGATGTATGGCTCTTAGGAGGTCTTCATGACAATCAGGAGGTCTTCAGAAGGTCTATTCGACCTAGAAGACCCTCAGGAAGTCACTTAGTCAGGAAGCGGCCAAGAAGACCCTGAGGAGGTTTTTTTTTTGGTCTAAAAGACCCTCAGGAGGTCTTTTTGGCCAAGAAGGCCCTCAGAAGGTCTTTTCAGCCCAGAATGACTTTCAGAGGTCATCTTGGTCTAGAAGTCCATCTGGACGTCTTTCCAGCCCAGAATGACTTTCGGATCTATTTTCGTTCTAAAAGGCCCTCAGAGGGTCTTCTCGTTCCAGAAAACCCTCCATCTGGAGTTCTTTCCAACCCAGAATGACTTTCGGAGGTCTTGTCGGTCTTAAAGGCCCTCAGTAGGTCTTCTCGTTCAGAAAACCCTCCATCTGGAGTTCTTTCCAACCCAGAAAGACTTTTGGAGGTCTTCTTGGTTCAGAAGACCCACAGAAGGCATTTTCGATCCACAATGACTGTCGAAGGTTCTCTCGTCCCAGAAACCTCTCAGAAGGTCTTTTCAGTCCAGAAAGACTTTCGGATGTCATCTTGGTCTAGAAGTCCATCTGGAGGGCTTTCCAGCCGAGAATGACATTCGGAGGTCTTTTCAGTCTAAAAGGCCCTCAGTAGGTCTTCTCGTTCCAGAAAACCCTCCATCTGGAGTTCTTTCCAACCCAGAATGACTTTCGGAGGTCTTGTCGGTCTTAAAGGCCCTCAGTAGGTCTTCTCGTTCAGAAAACCCTCAGAAATTCTTCTGCGTCTAGAAGATCCTTAGAAGGACTTTTCAGTCCAGAATGACTTTGGAAGTCTTCAAGGCCTAAAAAGTCCTCAGAAGTTTTTTTTCAGTCCAGAATGACTTTCAGAGATCATCTTGGTCCAGAAGAAAACCATCGGGTGGTCTTCTCAGTCTGGAAGACTTTCAGGAGGTCTTCTCCGTGCAGAAAGGCCTTCAGGAGGTCTTCTCGGTCTAGAAAACCATCAGGTGCTCTTGTCAGTTTAGAAGACCCTCAGGGGATCTTTTTGGTCTAACAGATCACCAAGTGGTCTTCTAGATCCAGAAGACTATCTGAGGTCTCGTCGACTAAGAAAGCCCTCAGGAAGTCCAGGGGATTCAGAAGACCCTCTGGATAGAAGAACCTCAAGAGGTCTTCTAAATCCAAAAGACCCTCCGAAGCTCTTCAACATATAGAAAGCCCTCTGGTCTTCTCAGGTGGTCTTCGCGGTCTAGAAAACCTTCATGCGGTCTTCTCAGTCAGGAAAACCCTCAGGAGGTCTTTTTGTCCTAGAAGACACTCAGGCGGTCTTCTCGTTCAAGAAGACTCTCAGGGAGTCTTCTCGGTCTAAAAAACCCTCAGGAGGTATTTTTTCGTCTAGAAACCCCTTAATGGGTTTTTGTCGGTCTAGATAGCCCTCAGGGAGTTTTGTTGGTCTATAAGACTCTTAAGTGGTCATCTCGGTCTAGAAGACCATCTGAAGTTCTGGAAAAGCCTCAGATGTTCTTTTTAGTCTAAAAGAACCCCAGGTGGTCTTCTTAGCCCAGGAGACCCTTAAGAGTTCTTCTCGGTTTAGAAGGGTCTCAGAAGGTCTTCTTAGTCCAGAAAACTTTTCGGAGGTCTTCTCGGCCCAAAAGGCCATCTGGCGGTCTTCTCGGCCTGGAAGGCACTTAGGAGGTCCACTCGGTGTAGAAGGCTCTTATTATGTCTTCTTGGTGTAGAAGGCCCTCAGAAGGTCTTCTCAGTCTAAAAGTTCCTCAGAATCCTTCCTCTATGGATCGAGGACTTTTCTTCTCGGTTTAGAAGGCTCTCAGAAGGTCTTCTTAGTCCAGAAAGCTTTTCGGGGGTATTCTAGGCCTGGAAGCACTTAGGAGGTCCACTCGGTGTAGAAGGCTCTTATGATGTCTTCTTGGTGTAGAAGACCCTCAGAAGGTCTTCTCAGTCTAAAAGTTCCTCAGAATCCTTCCTCTATTTATCGAGGACTTTTAAGAGATACTCTATGGATTGAAGACCCCCAAAGTCTTCTATTTATAGAAGATCCTCAGGAGGTCTTCTCAGTCTAAGAGACCCTTCGGAGCTCTTCTATGTATCGGATAGTAGATCATCAGAAGTAGATCCTCTATATAGCTTCTACATTTTGCAGACCTCCAGTACATCTTCCTCCTTAAAAATAATTTTTCCTTAAAATCTCATCCACTCTCTCTCCTTCTCTCTGCTTTCAGAAACCCTTCGTCTCTACACCATTGTGGTCTTCCTAAATCGCCAAGCTGTCGAAGACTACCCGGTGCCGGGCAACAGCAAGTTGGTGATTAAAAAGGATATGCCCGTTATTATCCCCGCCGGTGCCATACATCGCGATGAGCGTTATTTCCCCCAACCCAATGTCTTCAATCCGGACAATTTTGCAGCCGAAAAGGTGGCGGCTCGTGATTCGGTGCTGAATTTATCCTTTGGTGATGGTCCACGCACCTGTATTGGCATGCGTTTTGGAAAAATGCAAACCATGATTGGATTGGCGTTGCTGTTGAAAAATTTCAAATTCTCTGTGTGTGATAAGACGCAAATTCCCGTAAAATTGGATAAGACAAATTTCTTAGTGTCCGCAGAGGGCGCAGTCTTTTTGAAGGTGGAGAAAATATAACGATAGAGATTGAATAAATTATATATGAAAAATATAGTTATTATTTGTAGATATATATATGGGGTCATTAACCTTGGAGAGCCATACAGGTGTAGCGAGTTCAATGGGTTAATGAAAAAAAAAAAAAAACACAACAAAACTAAAAAGGCAACGCCAACACAGCCAAGCTAAAATAGTATTGAGGTAGGTTTCCGTCACAGCTATAGTAAATAGTCGTGATATAAACAATTTCTTTACAGTGGAACCCTCCTAAAATAACCTACAAAATGGGGTTTCATAACCTTAAGTTTTTTATGGAAATTATTTAATTTTTATGAAATTCCAAAATTTTTATTTATGTAGAGAACTTGTCGTCATAACCAGGTTCCACTGTATATGTTTTTAATGATTCAAAACATTTTATGATTTTGTGCTATTTTGTATTTTTTTGTTAATTATTTTTTTCGTATTTAATTGGTTTTTATTGTTGTTGTTGTTCTCTGCTGGCCTTGATCGCCAACAAGGCAAACAGTTCCAAAATAAAGTGATTTCATTCCAGTTGGGATGAAAAGTACGACGTAGATTAAAAAAGACAACAACAACGATAATAGCAACAAACAAATAATATGAAAAATAATTTGACAGACAAACATATTATTAAGAAAGCTTTTTTCACCGTCGGAACGACACTGGACAACAACGCTTGTGTGTAGATCAAAGCCAAGGCATGAATGCTGAGGCTATGCGATAAAAGTCAACATCGAACTGCGGATCAGTAAATTTTTTTTTTTTGACATTTAAGACCTTTAGGAGACCTAAGGAGATCGTTTTGGAATGAAAATCATTCTGGAAGTCTTTTATGTAATGGAGATCTTCGGGATGACTTTTAGGTTTAGAAGAACTTAATGTTGTAGTCTACCTATAAAAAACCTTCTAAAAGCCTCCTATTTATTGAACTCTGTGATTTTGATATTAGCAACAAAGAAAAGTTAAAGTTAGTACTAAAAGGGTACAAAGAGTACTAAATCGTACCAAAACTTATGTCATTGTATACCGTGAATTTGGCTCAGGTATATTTATATTTTTTTAGCTTTCACTCTATAAAGGACATTTAGAAGGTATTTTTTAAATGGTAGCAAATTTTCTCTCATCGCTTCATTTTAGAAGAATGTAGTCAAAGACAAAAATAAGTCTCTGAAGTAGTGGTATCTGTATAACCAAAATATACCAACAAAAAATTGGTATGAAAACATGAAATGTTATTTTCCTCTTTTTCTATGAATTGTGTGGCCCTTATTTTGATTTGATATCCGAAAGTCACATGTAGCATATTTTTAGGGGCATGAGCCCAAAGGAAAAAATATTCTATACCAAATTTCACTATAAATTCCAGAATATACTACATACATAAATATCATAAGTTTTTAGAAAATTGTGGTTCAAATTATTTGTTTATCAAAAAAAAAAAAAAAAAAAGTAAATAAATAAATAAAAAATTAAATCAAAGGTTTGTGGGAGAACGTTGCGAAATCACCCATAAAATATAATTTTATGGGGATGATGTTAAAGAAAAATATATTCAGCATCGAATTTCATTAGGGGTCTCTGAACAAAAGAAATCTGGAAACATAACATAAACCATTCAGAAAACACCACCAATGGAGACATATAAAAAGAGGTTTTTGTATTTTAATGGATGCACAAGTGGAATTAAACCAAAATCACCTATAAAACTGAATTTTATGAACATTATGTTAAAGAAAAATACATTCGGCATCGAATTTCACTAGGGGTCTCTGAACAAAATAAATCTAGAAACTCAACAAAAATCATTAAAAAATCAACAGCAAAAATAAATTTTTTTTTTAATTTTTTTCCATAAATTATGTGGCACTCCTTTTGAGTTGCCATCCGAAAGTCACATGAAGCATACTTTTAGGGGTATGATCCCAAAGGAAAAAATATTCTATGTCGAATTTCATTATTGATCTTGGAATAAACTATATATGTAAATATCATGGGTTTTAAGAAAATTTAAATCTTACTTATTTGTTTATCTAGAAAAAATTAGTGAGCTCAGTGGAAGAACGGTGCGAAATCGTCCACAAAATTTCCTTTTATAGGGATAATGTTAAAGAAAAAAATATTTTGCATCGAATTTCATTAGGGGTCTCTGAACAAAATAAATCTAGAAACTCAACATAAATCATTAAAAACTCAACAGCAAAAATGAAATTTTGTTTTATTTTTTTCCATAAATTGTGTGGCACTCCTTTTAATTTGACATCCCAAAGTCACATGTAGCATACCTTTTGGGGTATGAGCCCAAAGGAAAAAATATTTTACGACAGATTTCATTATCGATCACGAAGTAAACTATATGCGTAAATGCCATGGGTTTTAAGAAAATTAAATTTATTTATATTAATTTTTGTTTATCAAGAAAAAAAAATAGATTACGACTTACCCTATGGTTAGTGGAAGAACGGGACGAAATTACCCATAAAACTTCATGTTATGAGCTTGATGCTAAAGAAGAAAATATTTGGCATCAAATTTCACTAGGGGTCTCTGAACAAAGTAAATCTAGAAACTTTACAGAAATCCTTAAGAAATCACCAGCAATTTTGAAAAATATAATAAGAGTTTTTTGTATTTTGACTTGCTATAGGGTTGATAGAGGCGCAGGTTGAATTGAGCCAAAATCACCCATAAAACTTCATTTTATGGGCTTCATGGCAAAGAAAGAAATATTCACCATCGAATTTCACTAGGGGTCTCTGAAGAAAAGAAATCTAGAAACTCAACATAAATCATTAAAAACCCAGCATCAAAAACGAAATCTTTTTTAAGATGTTTTTCTCTTAAATTGCGTGACATTCCTTTTTATTTGGCATTCCAAAGTCACATGTAGCATACTTTGCGGGGTATGAGCCCAAAAGAAAAAATATTCTATGTCGAATTTCATTATTGAACTTGGAATAAACTGTATACGTAAGTATCATGGATTTTAATAAAATTTCACTTTCAAAAATTTCAATAAAAAATAGATTTTTAATTACTTTAATGTTAATAGAAGAGCTGGGCGAAATCACCCATAAAACTTCATTTTATGGACTTAGTGGCAAAGAAAGAAATATTCAGCATCGAATTTCATTGGGGGTCACAGAACAAAAGAAATTTGAAAACTCAAAAAAAATTATCAAAAACACAGCGTCAAAAATGAAATCTTTTTTAAAATGTTTTGCTCATAAATTGTTGTGACACTTCTTTTGAGTTGTCATTCCAAAGTCATATGTAGCATACTTTTAGGCACCTGAATCCCAAAGAAACAATATTCTATATCGAATTTCACTATCAATTCCAGAATAAAGTTTATGCATAAATTTTATGGTTTTGAGGAAAATCCCACTTTCATTTCTTTGTTTCCCAGGAAGAAATTCGATTTTTAATTACTTTAAGGTTAGTTGACGAATGGGGGAAATCACTCAAAAAAACTTCATTTTATGGACTTGATTGTAAAGAAGGAAATATTCAACATCGAATTTTACTGTAGGTCTCAAAACAAAATGAATCTTGAAACTCAACACAAATCATTAAAAACCCAGAGTCAAAAATTAAATATTTTTTAAAATGTTTTGGTCATAAATTGAGTAGCCCTCCTTTTAAGCTGACATTCCAAAGACACATGTAGCATACTTTTCGGGGTATGAACCCAAAGAAAAAAATATTCTTTGTCGAATTTCACTATCAACTCCAGAATAAAGTATATGCGTAGATGTTATGGTTTTCAATAAAATTCCACCTTCATTTCTTTGTTTCCCAGGAAGAAATTCGATTTTTAATTACTTAAGGGTTCGTAGACGGAGGGGGAAATCACCTATAAAACTTCATTTTATGGGCTTGCTGACAATGAAGGAAATATTCGGCATCGAATTTTATTATGGGTCTAGAAACAAAATAAATCTTGAAACTCAACACAAATCGTTAAAACAACGGAAATTCCGGCTTATAAAACAGAGATTCTTGTATTTTTATTTGCTTGATCAAACTGACTCAAAATCTCCCATAAAACGTCATTATATGAACTTGATGTTAAAAAGGAAAATACTTGACATAAAATTTTACTAGGGGTCTCCGAACAAACGAAATCTGGGAACTCAACATATACCATAAAAATATTAACTACAATTCTGGTATATATAAAAATGTTAATTTTGACTAGTTAAATGAGGCACGGGTGGAATTTAACCAAAATCACACATAAGAATTCACTCTATCAACTTGATGTTAAAGAGAAAATTACTTGACATCAAATTTAACTAGGGGTTCCAGAACAGACGAAATCTTGAAATTCAATATTTTGCATTAAAAAATCAAATAAAATTTGGGAAAATATAAAAAAAATGATTTGTTTTGATTTCCTTTGCTGTTAGTTGAGACATGGTCCGAGTTTAGCCGAAATCACCCATAAGACTTCATTCTATGAGCTTGCAGTTAAAGAAAATAATATTAAGCATTGAATTTCGCTAGGGGTCTCCGAACAAACGAAATCTGGGAACCCAACATATACCATAAAAATATTAACAACAATTCGGGCATATATAAAACATGTATATATTGACTTGCATTACAGTTAACTGAGGCGTGAACGGAATTGAGCCAAAATCGGCCACAAAGGTTCATTCTGTGAGCTTTATGTTAAAGAGAAAAATATTAAGCATCGAATTTCATTAGAGGTCCCAGAACAAAAGAAATTTAGAAACTCAACATATATCATTAAAATATTAGCAGCAATTTCAGAATATATAAAATAATTTTCTTTGTTTTGATTTGCTGTTAATTAATACAAGGGTCGAGTTTAGCCAAAATCACCCATAAGACTTCATTCTATGAGCTTGGTGTTAAAGAAAAGAATATTAAGCATCGAATTTCACTAGGGGTCTGGGAACAAATGAATTGTGAAAACTCAACATATATTATTAAAATATCGGCAGAAATTTATATAAAGAAATGTTTTATTTATTCTGACTGGCATTACGGTTAAGTGAGGTGTGGACCGAGTTGAGCCAAAATCACTAATAAATATTAATTTTATATGCTTTATGTTAAAGAGAAAAATATTATGCATCGAATTTCATTAGAGGTACCAGAACAAAATAAATCTGGAAACTTAATATATCGTATTAAAAAATCAGCAGCAATTTAGACGCATGTAAAAAAAATCTTCAATGCTTTGACTTACTTTAGTATTACGTGAGACGTGGGGTAAATGAGCCAAAATCTCCAATAAGCCTTCATTATATGAGCTTTATGTTAAAGAAAGAAATATTGGCCATCGAATTTCACTAGGGGTCTCAGAAGAAATTAAATTTGGAAATTGAATATTTCGCTAAAAAAAATCCACATCAATTCGCTATTATGAAAAATAGTCTTTTTTTCAGGTTTGGTAGCACTGCTAAGGGAAATGAGTTAAAATCTCCCATAAAATTTCATTTTATGAACTCAATGTTAAAGAGAAAAATATTAAGCAACGAATTTCATTAGGGGTCTGGGAACAAACAAAATCTGAAAACTCAATATTTCGCCTCAAAAAATCAGCAGCAATTCAGATATTTAAAAAATATTTTTTATATACTCCAATTGCTAATGATTTGCTTCAATAGTCCCTGAAGAAATCCTTTTAACTCCTTGTAAACTATTCTGATTTGACTTGACAGTCCCTAAATCTGTCCCAAATTGATGGCTTTGATGTTCCTGCAAAATCCAAAATCCCAAGGACCCATATCCCCTGGAAAATATTCCTGAAAAATCCACGTTAATGGCCTTTATATTTTTGTGAAAATATTTGTGTTTTAAAAAAATCTTCTTAAACTGGTCACCCTGTGGGCATTGAGAGAATGCTGAAAATTGTTTATAAACAATTATTATTGTCTTTGTTGTTGTATTTTTTTATTGTTATGTGAAAAAAAAAACGTTCATACATTGTCTAAAAATATTAAAATCTTAGAGGAAATACGGAAACCTATAATTATCTTTGGTTATTGATATTTATAGCTAGAACAGTATTGAAATTTTTGGTGTTGTTGTTGCAGTTGTCGAACATGGCATTACACAGCAAACTGGTTGTGACGTCACTATTAACTAAACGACTAATAAAGAGTGATTATTGCTGGCAAATTATCGATATCATGTTACTGACAGGGGTATGACTTGAAACGTCTCTACTCAAATCCTCGTCACCCTGAGCGTTATACCCCTCTCCGAGCTAATCAGGAAACTCTTCTTATCATACTGCAGCGGAATTTGAGTTTCCGAGCATACAGAAAATTTGAAATTTTTCAATAACATCGCCAGACCAACTGTAGTCTGCATTTTGCCGAAACGCATACCAATACAGTTACGTGGCCCCTCGCCAAAGGGCATATAAAGAATGGAATCACGTTGAGCCACCAATTCGGGGGCAAAGTTGTCGGGATTAAATTTATGCGGCTCGGGGTAGTAACGTTCATCGTGATGAATGCCCACAACGGGAATGAGAACCGGCATGCCTTTTTTGATCACGTATTTGGGGTTCCCCGGCACCACATAGTCCTCGAGGGCTTGGCGATTGAGCACGGGAACGACGGTGTACATGCGAAGGGTTTCTGGAAGAAGTATAAATATTTTTTTTAATTCTAAATCAATCAAAATCAAACAAAAAATATATAAAAAATATTAAAAAAAAAAACAGAAAAACAAATAAAAAATTGTTATTCAATTTTAAAAAATTAAAAAAATGTATCAAATATTTTTTTAAAAATATGTATATGAAAAATAAAAATATTAATATTAATTAAAAATATATTTTTGATGTGTTTTAATTTATAATATAAGAAAAGAATTTTTTAATTAAACAAAAACATATTTTTTCATAAATTAAAAAAAGAATTATTATTAAAAACAAACAGTATTAGAATGTTTGTTTGGGACACCAAAATCAAAAAAATTAAAAAAATATATATATTTTTTTAATTTAAAATAAAATTTTCCAATTAAGAAAAAAAAGATATATATAAATGAAATAGTATATACGAAGTAAAAAAAATATTTTTTTTGTTCAAAATAAAATTTTATAATTAAAATAATAAATAAATAAAATATAGAAAAAAATAAATAAATAAAATAAAAATTAAAAAAAATATATTTTTTATTAATTTTTTTTCAATTAAAAAAATTAATGAAATATTAAAAAAATATTTTTTCAATTTAAAATTTAAAATAATGTAAAAAATATTTAAAAATATATAATTTTTTTCATAAATCTATAAAACAATTGTTAATAAAAAATAAAAAAAAAATATTTTTTGTTCAAAATAAAATTTTATAATTTAAAAGAAAAAATAAATAAAATATAGAAAAAATAATAAACAAATAGAAAAACAAATAAAAAATATGTTTTCAATTTAAAAAATATAAAAATATGTATCAATTTTGTTTTTAAATATGTATATGAAAAATAAAAATATTAATATTAGTTTAAAATATAGTTTTGATATGTTTTAATTTTTAGTAAATAATATAATAGAAATAATAGAAAAAAAAAATAAATAATTGTTCAAATTAATATTTAAAAAATTTAAAATAATATAAAAAATATATAAAAATATATAAATTTTTTTTTATAAATTTATAAAACAATTATTAATAAAAAAATAAAAAAAATATTTTTTTTTGTTCAAAATACAATTTTATAATTAAAACAATAAATAAATAAAATATAGAAAAAATAAGTAAATATTAAATAAATAAAATAAAAAAATATATGTTTTTATTTAAAATAAAATTTTCCGATTAAAAAAATGAAGAAAATATTGAAAATATATTTTTATATATTTTTTCATTTTAAAATTTAAAAAATTTAGAATAATTCAAAAAATATTCAAAAATATATATATTTTTTTTTTTTATAAATTTATGAAACAATTATTAATAATTTTTTTTTGTTCAAAATAAAATTTTATAATTAAAAAAATAAAATATAAAAAAATAAATAGATAAAATAAAAATAAATAAAAATTAGTTTTTATTATTTAAAATAAAATTTCCTAATTAAAAAATGAATGAAATATGGAAACAAATATTTTTTCAATTTAAAATTTAAAAAAATTTAAAATAATGTAAAAATATATAAATTTTTTTTATAAATTTATTAAAAAATAATTATATTTTTTATAATTATATAAAAAAATATTTTTTTTTTGTTCAAAATAAAATTTTATAATTAAAAAAATAAATAAATAAAATATAGAAAAAAATATTAAATATAAAATAAAAATAAATAAAAATTATTTTTTTATTTAAAATAAATTTTTCCAATTAAAAAAAATAAAAAAATATTAAAAAAATAATAATAAATATATTTTCAATTTAAATGTTAGATTTAAAATAAAATTTTCCAATTAAAACAAAAATATAGAAAAAAATAAATATTTTTTAAATTTAAAAAATTAAAATAATGTAAAAAATATTTAAAAATATATATAATTTTTTATAAATTTATAAAACAATTATTATAAAAAAAATTGTTGAAAATAATATTTTATAATCAAAATAAATAAATAAACAAAATATAGAAAAAAATAAATAAATATTTTATATATAATAAAACTAAAAAATATAAAATGTATCAATGTTATTAAAAAAAAAACACTATTGTTAGTTAAAAATATATTTTCAACGTATTTCAAATTTTAATATACGACAAGAGTTTTTAATTAATAAATTACTATTAAAAAAAATTAAAAATATTTTTTTAAGATAAAATTTTTCAATTAAAGAATTTAATAAAATAATATTTTTATAATAATAATATATATCAAAATACATCAAAGTTACTAAAAAAATGCTATTATTAGTTAAAAGTATATTTTTGACATATTTCAAATTTTAATACACGACAAGAGTTTTTAATAAAAAAAATATATTTTTTTAGATAAAATTTTTTAATTAAAAAATTTTAATAAAAAATATTTTTTTACTTCAAAAAAAGGTATCAGAAATATTTTAAAAATTATGTAAAAATAATAATACTATTATTAATTATATATTTTTTTGATATATTTCAATTTTTAATACACGACAAGAATTTTTAATAAATTTAAAAAATTATTATTGGTTAATTAAATTTTATTTTTTTTTAGTTTCAGTTTTTTATTTTCTTTTTAAATTTTAATATATCTTCCAAAGAAACTGCCCACTTACCTGCAATAATTTGCTCCAAATAAGGCATATCCTTCATACTTTCATACGAAAATTTATTCTCCCATTTTTCATACATATCACGAATCTCCTGACGCACCCGATCCTGCATTTCCTGATTCTGGGCCAATTCATAGAGGGCAAAACCCATTGTCGTCGAGGAGGTTTCAAAGCCGGCATTGAAGAAAACATGAGCCTGGGCCGTTATCTCTTCCATCGTTAAATTTGTCAAATCATCACCATGTTCCGACTTAATTAACTTCTTGTTCTTCAAATCGATTAACATATCCATGAAATCATTTCTCCTCACATTATTCTTCTCTCGATATTCCACTGTCTCCCGGACTATACGCAAAAAGAACTGGATGACATCCTCGGGGAAGAGTTTCATTTTCAATGCTTTGGACAATTCGGGAAAACTATTCATGAAGGCCATAACCAAACGGCCGTGACGTTGCTCCTCCAGGCCCTTGCGCCCATATACCCGAAATATGGCATTGGGATTTTTCAGGCTATTGCATTCAATGCCAAAGGCACAGGACCCTATCACATCGGTGGTGAAACGGGCCAACATTTCACGCATTTCCACAACGGGATTTTCTTCCGCCGCCTTTGCCAAAACCTCCACAAATTCCTCACAAATCTGGGTGACAATGGGAAACATAAACCGCATTTTACCCGAGGTAAAGGTGGGTGATAACTTATTCCTCATACGCCTCCACTTGTTGCCATCGATCAGGAACAGCTGTCCCGACAACGGGTCATCCTTGGGATTGTGGAAGAACCCACGATCGGTAAATTTATTAAAATCCTTAATCAGCACATTTTTAATTAAAGCCGGATCCAATAGAAAAGCCGATGGTCGGTGGAAAAAATAGAAACCCAAAAAGGGACCGCTGCCCTTGAACTTTTCATAGTATTCCTGCCAGACATCGCCGAAACTTTTGCTTTTACCCAAACCCACCATATTACCCAGCAGGGGATGGGGCTCCTCATTGGTTATTCCCTGACTTTTCCAATAACTTGAACGTTTGCGAAACGATATCACCACATAGGCTATGAGGGCCAAGAGAATATATAATAATATCATGAAGATTGCCATAATGTTTTTTTCTCAACACCACCACCTCCACCGACGAATATCCGAACCAAACTGAAAACATTTTATGTTTAATCATTGCATTTATAAAGTTTTGAAATTTTCGTCAAATCATCTTTGATTTGTCCAACTAATGTTGAGTTACTCTTTTCTTGGGGCGGGAGGATATCTTATCGGAAAACGATAAGATATTGAGAGAGAGCCGAAGCGAGGGAGAGTGAGAGCGATGAATTTTGAGGAGAGGACGAGAGTTGACAAGAATAAACAGTGTTGAAAAAAACTTATGCATCAACATGGTGGATCTTATTTTCCACCAAGGGGGATAATATTATCTACCACTTTGAAGGAGGATAATTTTATCCACCAACGTGAATAATTTTATCCGTCCCTGTGGATAATTTTTCTCACCTAAGTGGATAATTTTATTCACCTCCCTGAATAATTATATCCACCACCGTGGAAAATTTTATCCACTAGAATGAATAACTTTTTTCACCACTGTGGATATATTTATCCACCACTGTGGATATATTTATCCACCTCCGTGGATAATATTATTCACCTCCCTGGATAATTTTATCCACCATAGTGAATAATATTATCCACCACTATGGATAATTTTATCCACCACAATGGATAATTTTATCCACCACTGTGAACATTTTCATCCACCATGGTGAATAAATTTTTCCCCCATAGTGGATATTTTTATCCACCTAAATGGATAACTTTTTTCCACCACAGTGGATAATTTTATCCGTCACTGTGGATATTTTATCCACCATTATGAAAAAGTTTTGTCAATTCCTTGAATATTTTTGTCCACCACTGTGGATATATTTATCCACCTCCGTGGATAATATTATTCACCTCCTTGGATAATTTAACCACGACCGTGAGTAATATTATCCAACACTGTAGATATTTTTACCCACCACTGTGGATATATTTATCAATTTTCGTGGATAATATTATTCAACACCCTGGATAATTATATTCACCATCGTGAATCATATTATCCACCACTGTGGATAATTTTATCCACCACTGTGAATAATTTTTTTCCACCACAGTGGATAATTTTATCCACCACAGTTGATATATTTATTCACTACTGTGGACATATATTTATCGACCGCCGTGGATAATATAATTCACCTTCGTGAATAATATTATCCACCACTGTGGTTAATTATATTCACTACTGTGGATAATTTTAATCACCACTGTGAATTTTTTCATCCATCACGATGAATAAATTTAATAATTTTATCCACCAAAATTGATAACTTTTTTCCACAACACTGGATAATTTTATCCACCACTGTGGATATTTTTGTTCACCACTGTGGATAGTTTTATCCACCACTGTGGATATTTTTATCCACCACTGTGGATAGTTTTATCCACCACTGTGGATATTTTTATCCACCACTGTGGATATTTTTATCCACCACTGTGGATAATTTTATCCACCACTGTGGATATTTTTGTCCACCACTGTGGATAATTTTATCCACCACTGTGGATATATTTATCCATCTCCGTGGATAATATTATTCACCTCCCTGGATAATTTTATCCACCTCTGTGAATATTTTCATCCACCACGGTGAATAAATTTTTTTCCACCACTGTGAATATTTTTATCCACCACTGTGGATATTTTTATCCACCTCCGTGAATAATTTTATTCACATCCCTGGAAAATTTTATCCATCACCGTGGATAGTTATGTCCACCAATGGTGCATAATTTTATCCACCACTGTGGATATCTTTATCTACCACTGTGGATATTTTATCCACCACCGTGGATAGGGTTATTCACCTCCGTGAATGATTTTAACCAATTTTTTTCCCACCACTCTACATAATATTCTCCACCATTGTGGATAATTTTCCCACCACTCTTCATAATTTTATTCACCACTGTGGGCATTTTTTTCCGCCACTGTGGATAGTTTTATAACCCCTGTATATATTTTTAGCCACGAAAAAATATATATCTTTTATATTTCACAAAACAAAAAATTGTTGCCTAGTGTTCATTGATGAGATAGATGTCTGTCCAAGAACGGTAAAGCTTTTAATAAGAAAAGCTTTTTTATAAATTATAAAAGCTTTCTTTTTGTTCTAATAAAAGCTTTGATTTTTAATAACTAAATAAAAGCTTTTAAAAATTTTGTAATTCTAGTGCAGACACAAACTTACTTTGATTTAATTGCTGGTCCACAGATGGCGCTGCCCAGGACAAATTTCAAAGAAGTGGAAACCATAAAAATTTTAAATTTTTTAATGCTCGAAACTTACATATATCCTTCGATTTATTTAATTTTCTTTCTTATAGCTTGAACATTTAAATACAGATTATTTTTCGGTGTCCATGCCAGCGATTCGGGATTAATTTGCATTGGTATATCGGTGCGGGAACATACCGTAAAACGGAAATGCCTGATAACCAAAGCCAAACCCAAACGTGATTGCATTTTACCAAAACGCATGCCAATACAATTGCGCGGACCATCACCAAAACCCAGCCAATCGACGGAGTCACGCTGTTTCACCATTTCAGGGGAGAAACGTTCGGGATCAAATTCTTCGGGATTGGGGTACAGTTCGGGGTCATAGTGTATGCCCAAGACGGGTATGAAGACCAGGGTGCCCTTTGGCAACACATATTTGGGATTGTGCGGCACCACATAGTCGTTCAAGGTCTGGCGGGTCAGTGCACTGCCGACGGGGTATTTGCGGAGTGTTTCTGAAAAAAATGAAAATTTCAAATATTAATTGAAAATTAATTTTTTTATTTCTGACTTACCATTCAATACCTGATCCAAATAGGGTATATTCATGAGAGCATCATAGCTAATGTTATCCTCCTTGAACTGATCAAACACCTCATTAACCTCCTCGCGTAGACGATCCTGCAGCTGCTGATTTTGGGCCAATTCATAGAGGGCAAACCCCATTGTCGAAGAGGAGGTCTCAAAGCCCCCCAGGAAGAATACAAACACCTGGGCAGCCAATTCATTGAATGTCAAGCCCCCCAGCTTGGAGATACTCTCCGGATTATTTTTCAAATCCAGGACGAGATCCAAAAAATCATTGCGCCGAATATTGTTCTTCTCCCGATAGTCCACCGTTTCCTTGATGGAGGACATGAAAAATTGATGGACATCTTCTGGCAAAACGCGCATGCCCAGTTTCCTTGACAACTCTGGGAAGCTATCGATGAAGGCCATAATCAGGGCATTATGTCTGGGCACTTCAATGGATTTCCTTCCCATGGCCAGAAAACGATCGTGGGGATTCCTCAGGCTATTGCATTCAATACCAAAGGCCACACTGCCAATGACATCGGTATTGAAACGGGCCAAAATATCACGCATATCCAATTCCGAGGAGACCTCCAGCTTTTCATACATCACCTCGAGCAGGCGTTGTCCAACCTCCAGCACCGTGTTGTACATATATTTCATTTTTCCAGCCGTAAAGGTGGGTGAGAGTTTTGTCCTGAGGCTACGCCATTTTTCACCCTCCACCATTACCAAGTGGCCGGTCAGCGGATCATCTTTTTCATTGTAATACAGACCACGATTGGCAAAATTGGAAAAATCCTTAATGAGAACCCGTTTTCTTAGCTCCTTGTCCAATACGACAGCAGCGGGTTTATGGCCCAAGAAAATGCCGGCAAAGGGTCCCGATCCCTTAAATTTCCGATAATAATCGGCAATAATTTCACCAATGTGATATTTACTCCTCAAACCCTTGACATTGCCCATCACCAAATGGGGTTCTTCATGGGGTATGCCACGCCTCTTCCAGTAGCCGAAATTCCAGCGCACAAAATACAAGGCCAAAGAGGCCAACACCCCAAGGGCATACAAAAGAAATGAACCGAAATCCATAATTTTTTTATTGCTTCGCTAATTTTTTATTCTCTTCTTTCACGTGGATAACGATCACACCTAGCTCGAATAGCTTGGTACTGCGCAACAAACACGACTGCCTGAATTTTTTATATTCATGGACGCTCTGCTTTCTTTCGCTGCTTGCGAAAAATTGCGATTTCAGCTTATCATTCAGCTTTTTTTCGGGCAAGTCATGGCATTAGTTAAACAAAATTAGAAAAACTGTCAAATCATTTCGACGGCGTAGACAAACCACTGGGGGTGTACGAATCGGAATGACTCTACAAAATGATTAATTTGAAGTGGTGTGAATTGAATATTTTGACCTACCGCAATGATGATTGTCAAAACACACGAAATTGGCAAAAGTAATAAAAAAACCAAAACAAAAACACCACCAGACCTACCCTAAGTAAATGGAATGTAAACAAGAATATTCTTCTCTATAAAAAAATATAAAATATATATTTAAATATCCAGGCCCTTGTATTTTTTAGGAAATGAAAAAAATCACCCATGTTTGCAGGTTTAAAAAAATATACCAGCCCTGTGGTACTAATAGGAATTTAATAAAAAATCCATTTTCGGAGGTCTGAAAAAAATGTCTTTAAAAAATTTATATTTGTTTGTCCTTTGATCCTTGAAAAAATATTTAAAAAATCCACGTCTATTGCTTCTTTGTTCCTTGAAAAAATATTTAAAAAATCCAGGTTTATTGCTCCCTAAAAAAGTATTTGAAAAATCTATTCCTGTTTGTCCTTTGGTCCTTGAAAAACTATTTAAAAAATTTGCTTGTTTGTCCTTTGGTCCTTGAAAAAATATTCTTTAAAAAATCAACGTTTATTGCTCCTTTGGTCCTTAAAAAAATTTTAACAAATCCAAGTTTATTGCTCCTTTGGTCCTTGAAAAAATATTTAAAAAATCCATTCTATTGCCCCTTTGGTTTTTGAAAAAATATTCTTTAAAAAACCCACGTCTTTGGTGGTCCTTGAAAAAATATTCTTTAAAAAATCCAGGCCTGGTGGTCCTTGAAAAAAAAAAACTTTAAAAAAATCCACGCCTTTGGTGTTGATTGAAAAAATATTCTTTAAAAAATCCACGCCTTTGGTGTTGATTGAAAAAATATTCTTTAAAAAATCCACGCCTTTGGTGTTGATTGAAAAATATTCTTTAAAAAATCCACGCCTTTGGTGGTCCTTGCAAAAAATATTCTTTAAAAAATCCACGCCTTTGGTGGTCCTTGCAAAAAACTTAGCTTTAAAAAATCCACGCCTTTGTTGGACTTTGGAAAAAATATTCTTTAAAAAATCCACGCCTTTGGTGGACTTTGGAAAAAAAAATATTCTTAAAAAATCCACGCCTTTGTTGGACTTTGGAAAAAAATATTCTTTAAAAAATCCACGCCTTTGGTGGTCCTTGAAAAAAATATTCTTTAAAAAATCCACGCCTTTGGTGGTCCTTGGAAAAAATATTCTTTAAAAAATCCACGCCTTTGGTGGTCCTTGGAAAAAATATTCTTTAAAAAATCCACGCCTTTGGTGGTCCTTGGAAAAAATATTCTTTAAAAAATCCACGCCTTTAGTGGTCCTTGGAAAAAATATTCTTTAAAAAATCCACGCCTTTGGTGGTCCTTGGAAAAAAAAAATATTCTTAAAAAATCCACGCCTTTGTTGGACTTTGGAAAAAAATATTCTTAAAAAATCTACGCCTTTGTTGGACTTTGGAAAAAATATTCTTTAAAAAATCCACGCCTTTGTTGGACTTTGGAAAAAAAAATATTCTTAAAAAATCCACGCCTTTGTTGGACTTTGGAAAAAAAAATATTCTTAAAAAATCCACGCCTTTGTTGGACTTTGGAAAAAATATTCTTAAAAAATCTACGCCTTTGTTGGACTTTGGAAAAAATATTCTTTAAAAAATCCACGCCTTTGTTGGACTTTGGAAAAAATATCCTTTAAAAAATCCACGCCTGTGGTGGTCCTTGAAAAAAATATTCTTTAAAAAATCTACTCCTTTGTTGGACTTTGGAAAAAATATTCTTTAAAAAATCCACGCCTTTGTTGGACTTTGGAAAAAATATCCTTTAAAAAATCCACGCCTGTGGTGGTCTTTGAAAAAAATATTCTTCAAAAAATCCACGCCTTTGGTGGTCCTTGAAAAAAATATTCTTTACAAAATCCACGCCTTTGGTGGTCCTTGAAAAAAATATTCCTTAAAAAATCCACACCTTTGGTGGTCCTTGAAAAAAAAATTCTTTAAAAAATCCACGCCTTTGGTGGTCCTTGAAAAAAATATTCCTTAAAAAATCCACACCTTTGGTGGTCCTTGAAAAAAATATTCTTAAAAAATCCACGCCTTTGTTGGACTTTGGAAAAAAATATTCTTAAAAAATCTACGCCTTTGTTGGACTTTGGAAAAAATATTCTTTAAAAAATCCACGCCTTTGTTGGACTTTGGAAAAAATATCCTTTAAAAAATCCACGCCTGTGGTGGTCCTTGAAAAAAATATTCTTTAAAAAATCTACGCCTTTGTTGGACTTTGGAAAAAATATTCTTTAAAAAATCCACGCCTTTGTTGGACTTTGGAAAAAATATCCTTTAAAAAATCCACGCCTGTGGTGGTCTTTGAAAAAAATATTCTTCAAAAAATCCACGCCTTTGGTGGTCCTTGAAAAAAATATTCTTTACAAAATCCACGCCTTTGGTGGTCCTTGAAAAAAATATTCCTTAAAAAATCCACACCTTTGGTGGTCCTTGAAAAAAAAATTCTTTAAAAAATCCACGCCTTTGGTGGTCCTTGAAAAAAATATTCCTTAAAAAATCCACACCTTTGGTGGTCCTTGAAAAAAAAATTCTTTAAAAAATCCACGCCTTTGGTGGTCCTTGAAAAAAATATTCTTTAAAAAATCCACGCCTTTGGTGGTCCTTGAAAAAATATTCTTTAAAAAATCCACGCCTTTGCTTGTCATTGAAAAAAATATTCTTTAAAAAATCCAGGCCTTTGGTGGTCCTTGAAAAAATATTCTTTAAAAAATCCAACGCCTTTGGTGGTCCTTGAAAAAAATATTCTTTAAAAAATCCACGCCTTTGGTGTTGGTTGAAAAAATATTCTTTAAAAAATCCAAGCCTATGCTGGTCGTAGAAAAAAATATTCTTTAAAAAATCCACGCCTTTGGTGGTCCTTGAAAAAAATATTCTTTAAAAAATCCACGCCTTTGTTGGTTTTTGGAAAAAATATTCTTTAAAAAATCCACGCCTTTGTTGGTTTTTGGAAAAAATATTCTTTAAAAAATCCATGCCTTTGGTGGTCCTTGAAAAAAATATTCTTTAAAAAATCCACGCCTTTGTTGGTTTTTGGAAAAAATATTCTTTAAAAAATCCATGCCTTTGGTGGTCCTTGAAAAAAATATTCTTTAAAAAATCCTCGCCTTTGTTGGGCTTTGGAAAAAATATTCTTTAAAAAATCCACGCCTTTTTGGACCTTGAAAAAAATATTCTTTAAATAATCCATGCCTTTGTTGGACTTTGGAAAAAATATTCTTTAAAAATCCATGCCTTTGTTGGACTTTGGAAAAAATATTCTTTAAAAAATCCATGCCTTTGTTGGACTTTGGAAAAAATATTCTTTAAAAAATCCACGCCTTTGGTGGTCCTTGAAAAAAATATTCTTCAAAAAATCCACGCCTTTGGTGGTCCTTGAAAAAAATATTCTTAAAAAAATCCACGCCTTTGGTGGTCCTTGAAAAAAATATTCTTTAAAAAATCCACGCCTTTGGTGGTCCTTGAAAAAAATATTCTTTAAAAAATCCACGCCTTTGGTGAACCTTGAAAAAATATTCTTTAAAAAATCCACGCCTTTGGTGGTCCTTGAAAAAAATATTCTTTAAAAAATCCACGCCTTTGGTGGTCCTTGAAAAAAATATTCTTTAAAAAATCCACGCCTTTGGTGGTCCTTGAAAAAAATATTCTTTAAAAAATCCACGCCTTTGATGGACTTTGGAAAAAATATTCTTTAAAAAATCCACGACTTTGTTGGACTTTGGAAAAAATATTCTTTAAAAAATCCACGACTTTGTTGTACTTTGGAAAAAATATTCTTTAAAAAATCCACGCCTTTGGTGGACTTTGGAAAAAAATATTCTTAAAAAATCCACGCCTTTGGTGGACTTTGGAAAAAAATATTCTTAAAAAATCCACGCCTTTGTTGGACTTTGGAAAAAAATATTCTTAAAAAATCTACGCCTTTGTTGGACTTTGGAAAAAAATATTCTTAAAAAAATCCACGCCTTTGTTGGACTTTGGAAAAAATATTCTTTAAAAAATCCACGCCTTTGGTGGACTTTGGAAAAAAAAATATTCTTAAAAAATCCACGCCTTTGTTGGACTTTGGAAAAAAAAATATTCTTAAAAAATCCACGCCTTTGTTGGACTTTGGAAAAAAATATTCTTAAAAAAATCCACGCCTTTGTTGGACTTTGGAAAAAATATTCTTTAAAAAATCCACGCCTTTGGTGGACTTTGGAAAAAAAAATATTCTTAAAAAATCCACGCCTTTGTTGGACTTTGGAAAAAAAAATATTCTTAAAAAATCCACGCCTTTGTTGGACTTTGGAAAAAAATATTCTTAAAAAATCTACGCCTTTGTTATACTTTGGAAAAAATATTCTTTAAAAAATCCACGCCTTTGTTGGACTTTGGAAAAAATATCCTTTAAAAAATCCACGCCTGTGGTGGTCCTTGAAAAAAATATTCTTTAAAAAATCTACGCCTTTGTTGGACTTTGGAAAAAATATTCTTTAAAAAATCCACGCCTTTGTTGGACTTTGGAAAAAATATCCTTTAAAAAATCCACGCCTGTGGTGGTCTTTGAAAAAAATATTATTTAAAAAATCCACGCCTTTGGTGGTCCTTGAAAAAAATATTCTTTAAAAAATCCACGCCTTTGGTGGTCCTTGAAAAAAAAATTCTTTAAAAAATCCACGCCTTTGGTGGTCCTTGAAAAAAAAATTCTTTAA